TTTTCAGAGAACCCCCCTTGCTCAACAAGGCTTACCATTTTGACTAAAGGGGAGGGACAGAGGGCAGTTTACTAAGGGCAGTGACTAAAGGGCCTGACAAGGGAAAGGCCCGGGGGTAGAAGGGATTTTCTAAGGGGGAGTGACCCAGAAAGGGCAGTGACAAGGGCATGACTAGAGGGCCCGTGAATAGAGGGGGGAGTGCTAAAGGGGGATGACAGAAGGCAGTGACCCAAAAAGGGGGGAAGGTTTACCTAAAAGGCAGTGACAAAGGGAAGTTGGGCCCAGAAACAATTTACTAGAAGGCAAATGCCCAGAAAGGGAAATGGGCTAGAAGGGAGGGGACTGAGGGCAGTGACAGAAGGGGAGTGACTAAAGGTTAAGGGGACTAGAAGGGGAGTAACTAGAAGGGGAGTGGAAATTTGAGGGCAAAAGGGCTAAGTCAGTGACCCAAGGGCGTGCCCAGAGGGGGATGAAAAAAAGGCAGTGACTAGAAAAGGGAGTTTACTAGAGGGGAGTGACTAGAAGGGATGCCCAAAATAGCATTTTTAATTTCACTGCCATGAAGCCAAAGGCCGGGAAATTTTCATCCTGGGCCCCGCAAAAACTTTTTATCTATTATTATTGAATAGAAAATTTGCATGTTTACAGTTTTTTCAGACCGTTAGTTATATGTACTTTTAAATATTTCAATTTTTTAAAATATTCTATTTTACAATTTTTTAAATTTTTTGTGTACCTTTTATAAATTTAATTTATCGTGTAATTCCATTATTAAAAAAAATTTCGGCACCCCGCCCCCCTCCACCGGGGGTTTTCAAAAAAACCCCAAAAGAAGGGATTTACTAAAGGGAGTGACTAAAAAGGGAGTGACTAAAAGGCCAAAAAGGGCCCCCGGGAAACCCCTACTTGAAGGAATCCCCCCGGGAAACAATGTCTTTTAGGGGAGGACAAAGGGGGAACCAAAGGGAAATGATTAAGAAAAGGGAGGACTAAAAGGGAGTTCCAAGGGGGCATGACTAAAAGGGCGTTACTGAAGGCAGTTACTAAAAAGGCCGTGACTAAGGGAAATGAATAAAGGATTTACTAGAAGGGAGGACTAAGGGCAGGCCCCAAAGGGCCAGGGCTAGAGGGGGGAAAAAAGGGATGACTAAAATTTTTGGACTAAAGGAAGTGACAAAAGGCAGGGGGCCCAAAGGGGGTTGACTAGAGGGGATTTAAATGAAGGCGTGACAAAAGGGGGAATTTCAAAAAGGTTTGGACTAAGGGCAGTGACAAAAGGTTTGGCCCATAAAGGCGTGACAAAGGGCAAATGACTACTAAGCAGTGACTAGAAGGCAGTGACTAGAGGTTATTGGAATATAAGGAAGTGACTAAAGGCAGAGACAAGAGGGCAGGTGGACTAAGGGCAGTGACTAACGGGCGAGTGACGAGAGGGCAGAGACTAGAAGGGCAGTGACTAGAGGCAGTGACAGAAGGCAGTGACTAGAAGGGCAGTGACTAGAGGGCAGTGACTAGAGGGCAGTGACTAGAAGGTAGTGACTAGAGGGCAGTGACTAGAAGGCAGTGACTAGAAGGTAGTGACTAGAGGGCAGTGACTAGAGGGCAGTGACTAGAGGGCAGTGACTAGAAGGCAGTGACTAGAAGGCAGTGACTAGAAGGCAGTGACTAGAAGGCAGTGACTAGAAGGCAGTGACTAGAAGGCAGTGACTAGAAGGTAGTGACTAGAAGGCAGTGACTAGAGGGCAGTGACTAGAAGGCAGTGACTAGAAGGTAGTGATTAGAAGGCAGTGACTAGAAGGCAGTGACTAGAGGGCAGTGACTAGAGGGCAGTGACTAGAAGGCAGTGACTAGAAGGCAGTGACTAGAGGGTAGTGACTAGAAGGTAGTGACTAGAAGGCAGTGACTAGAGGGTAGTGACTAGAGGGTAGTGACTAGAAGGCAGTGACTAGAAGGCAGTGACTAGAAGGCAGTGACTAGAAGGCAGTGACTAGAGGGCAGTGACTAGAGGGCAGTGACTAGAAGGCAGTGACTAGAAGGTAGTGACTAGAGGGCAGTGACTAGAAGGTAGTGACTAGAAGGCAGTGACTAGAAGGCAGTGACTAGAGGGCAGTGACTAGAGGGCAGTGACTAGAAGGTAGTGACTAGAAGGCAGTGACTAGAGGGTAGTGACTAGAAGGCAGTGACTAGAAGGCAGTGACTAGAGGGCAGTGACTAGAAGGCAGTGACTAGAGGGCAGTGACTAGAGGGTAGTGACTAGAAGGCAGTGACTAGAAGGCAGTGACTAGAGGGCAGTGACTAGAAGGCAGTGACTAGAAGGCAGTGACTAGAAGGCAGTGACTAGAAGGTAGTGACTAGAAGGCAGTGACTAGAAGGCAGTGACTAGAAGGCAGTGACTAGAAGGCAGTGACTAGAAGGCAGTGACTAGAAGGCAGTGACTAGAGGGCAGTGACTAGAGGGCAGTGACTAGAAGGCAGTGACTAGAGGGCAGTGACTAGAGGGTAGTGACTAGAGGGCAGTGACTAGAGGGTAGTGACTAGAGGGCAGTGACTAGAGGGCAGTGACTAGAAGGTAGTGACTAGAGGGTAGTGACTAGAGGGCAGTGACTAGAGGGCAGTGACTAAAGGGCAGTGACTAGAAGGTAGTGACTAGAGGGTAGTGACTAGAGGGCAGTGACTAGAAGGCAGTGACTAGAAGGCAGTGACTAGAAGGCAGTGACTAGAGGGCAGTGACTAGAAGGTAGTGACTAGTCGAAGGCAGTGACTAGAAGGTAGTGACTAGAAGGCAGTGAATAGAAGGCAGTGACTAGAAGGCAGTGACTAGAAGGCAGTGACTAGAAGGTAGTGACTAGAAGGCAGTGACTAGAAGGTAGTGACTAGAGGGCAGTGACTAGAGGGCAGTGACTAGAAGGCAGTGACTATGGCCTCAGCTCATAATTTTCAAGGGGAAATTATAATTGAGAGAGCCCGATGATTATCTGCCCCGCTAATATGTAATTAGTTAGTGTACTAGTACCACTAGTAACTAAATATGTAATTAGAGGACTGAAAACTAGCAATCTATTGAAAAGGAGGTATGTTTACTAGTACTACTAGTACCGCTTGGTTACTAGAACTACTAGTACTACTAGTACCGCCTGGTACATTTCCATTTGTTTGATCAAATAAGAACACGATCGTAAATCGTATATCTTCAAAATGATTATCGCAATTAAGTTGTCAGAATTTGTGCAACGTTGCGTCATTATATAGAAAAATGTCGAAAATGCGCAAAATGGGTTAGTTACCTTTAAATACAAGTATTTAAACATAAACTGCAATAAAATTAACTTTTTTTCTAAAGAAAACACAGCATATTTAATACAGGGTGGCCCAAAAGTAACTACCCACACGCAACCCTTTAATAACTCACGTAATTGGTATCAGAATTGCCTAAAAATTTCAGAGAATATAGATATGGGCCAAACTTAAATTTCCTGAAATTTTTATAAAATTTCATCAATTAAAGATCATGTCAAACGTTTTGAAGAACTGATAGAGCCTATCTAGTCTTTCTGAAGAACTGATAGAGCCTATCTAGTCTTTCTGAACACCTGATAGAGCCTTTCTAGTCTTTCTGAAGAACTGATAGAGCCTATCTAGTCTTTCTGAAGAACTGATAGAGCCTATCTAGTCTTTCTGAAGAACTGATAGAGCCTATCTAGTCTTTCTGAAGAACTGATAGAGCCTATCTAGTCTTTCTGAAGAACTGATAGAGCCTATCTAGTCTTTCTGAAGAACTGATAGAGCCTATCTAGTCTTTCTGAAGAACTGATAGAGCCTATCTAGTCTTTCTGAAGAACTGATAGAGCCTATCTAGTCTTTCTGAAGAACTGATAGAGCCTATCTAGTCTTTCTGAAGAACTGATAGAGCCTATCTAGTCTTTCTGAAGAACTGATAGAGCCTATCTAGTCTTTCTGAAGAACTGATAGAGCCAATCTAAAGTTGTTACTCTTCAATGAATTTTGAGTGCAGAACTCCTTCAATTTCGCTGAAACACGTTAAATTTTATGTTTTTATCCGAAAAACTTAAGTTAGGTTAGCAGTCATACAATCCGAGGATAAGTTTAAAAGCCAGGTGTAGTATTATTAAGACACTCCGCACGCAATCAAGACATGTTCAGCGCACCTTGTCCGGAATGTTCCCCAGTTACAGAGAGAGAGCAGTAGGGTATATACTGAGAGCTACAGAGAGAGAGCAGTACTAGTAGTAGTAGAGCCTACAGAGAGAGAGCTACAGACTCAACAGAGGCTTTGATCTCAAGGAGAGTTTAATTGAGAACAGGTTGAGGTAAGCTCTCAACAAAGACACTAGTCCAGGTTACATAGCTTGTTTAGACACGTGACCCGCCTGTTCAGCCTTCTGATTGGTTAACCTTTATTACTGGGTCACGTGTCAAGATAAAGCATTTGCGTTCAAATTTGTTAAATCAAGTATGGTCTTAAGAATACAAGTTACTTAATAAAGTGGTATTAAAAGTTGGTATCCTAACAGCTGACACCGTACAATTCTTTTGAGAGATCTGGAGTCTTGCCTAGCTCCTAGTCTGGATTTAAAAAATCCAACTTCAAAACAGGGCTAGAAGTTTAATAGAATAAGATAATAACGTCAGAAATTCAATTAAAAGCTGCTCGATTGAGCCAAAAATACGAAAAACTAAATTGAATAATAAAGTCCTGTACAGTGAGTGAGATGAGTAACAGGTGTAACATGTGTAACATGTGTAACATGTGTAACATCATTGTGAGATGATAACGAGAAAGTACTTGTACTATTAACAGCTCTAACAGTTCACAGAGAACAAATAAAATAGTACCGGGTAACTTCTTCTGAGAATAATTATAAGTAAAAGTGCTAATTTATTAAAAAACTTATGTTTTGTGTTGAGGCCTTTAGAAGCAATTAAAAAGCCTCATTTAGAAATGTAAGGAATGTAATGATATCAGATAAATATATCACTTACCAGACTTGCCGTTATCAAACGAACAATCCTGAAATAGAATATAATTTAAAACTAGTTTTTGACTTAAAATACAAAAATATACAGTCTCTGAGATTTGTAATAAATCAAGGTGTGACGACTGATAAATCAAGGTGTGACGACTGATAAATCAAGGTGTGACGACTGATAAATCAAGGTGTGACGACTGATAAATCAAGGTGTGACGACTGATAAATCAAGGTGTGACGACTGATATATCAAGGTGTGACGACTGATATATCAAGGTGTGACGACTGATAAATCAAGGTGTGACGACTGATATATCAAGGTGTGACGACTGATATATCAAGGTGTGACGACTGATAAATCAAGGTGTGACGACTGATAAATCAAGGTGTGACGACTGATAAATCAAGGTGTGACGACTGATAAATCAAGGTGTGACGACTGATATATCAAGGTGTGACGACTGATATATCAAGGTGTGACGACTGATAAATCAAGGTGTGACGACTGATAAATCAAGGTGTGACGACTGATAAATCAAGGTGTGACGACTGATATATCAAGGTGTGACGACTGATAAATCAAGGTGTGACGACTGATAAATCAAGGTGGGACGACTGATAAATCATTAAAGGAATGATATTTACCAATCGTCTGATCAAACCACAAAATTCAATAGTATTAATTTCAACTGCAATACAAATTTGTAGCACAGTAATAATAATTGATATTAAAAAATGGTTAAGCAGTATAGTATTTACCAAGTTTCTTAAATCGAAGAATGCTTCGTGTATCTTCTCCTAAAAATATAGGGTTATACTATGAACTATTACTATGTACTACATAAGGTAACAGTTATACCCTGGCTCTATTCCATGTGATCGAAAGAAATGAGTGGACAGAAGTAAATGCATTGTCGCATGTAGATTAAATTACAGTTTATCATAAGCACAAAATATAATACTGCAAATGATAGCAAAAAAAGGTAGAATAAATAAATTCATGTCTAAAATAAAATTTGATAAACTTAATTTAAACTATAACTATAACTAGCCATGAGACATAGCAATGTTTAGTGTCTACAGACATGGTGAGGGGGGTCACGTGACTTACCAATATGTGAAAGTACACCTTCTCAAGGGGCAGGTATTTGGCAGTGCAATCAGAACCAAACGAGATATCAGTCTGACATATTTGCGAGAGATTAACTAGAGGGGTACTATTCTCGATGCATGAAGACATTATAGCTGAAACGGGTAACGAGTTATTACTCATCCTACAATCCTATTACATAATTACTCAGTAAATCTGATAATAGCAATAATCTCATCATAGATTTGACGGGGTACGACGACATGAAATATAGGCTATAATATAATATAAGCGCTCTATAATGACATAGCTCCGATTAAATGAAATGTTGGAATGACACAGTTATAGGGAGGAATATAAAAAGGTATCTGTTTGAACGAGAAGATGGGCGCGGCCGGTAAGAGTAAAAGTAGTACGAGTATGAGGAGTAGAGCAAGCAATATTGATTCTGTGGTCTCGAGCGTTCTTTTTATTGCCACGGTTAAAAGGCTTAACTACTTAACGCGCAACTGTAGTGCAAAGCAGAATCTCAGAGTCGAGACACCCCAATTAGAATCAAGGTTTTACGGTGCTTCAATTTCTCAGACGCAGCAACTGTAGTACTGCTTTCTAATATACTAGTACCTAGTTCTAATAATTCTAATAATACTGCAACACTTTTTAAATGGTGATCCGATTTTGAACGAAAATAATCATTAGTAACTGGTGGAGCAAGTAGACGGGATTCAGAATGGAGCTGAATATTAAAAGGATTTGATAAAGTGCAGTTTGATCACGTGTAAGGGGTAAACTGCAATCTCTCTTAACGCAGGTTAAAGAGCTTGCAGTCACGTGGGCCCGGTCACGTGCAGTTTCCAACCATTAACAATCGCGCACATACCTGCTTGACATTCCATGAGCTTTGATGTTGACATGGCTGCGGCTGTAGTGCGTAAAATGGTTTTGGTGGGGGAGCCCTGTGATTGGCGGAGGAAGATTGGGAATTATGAGGGAGAATCTGATTGGACAGAAACCAGACAAATAATAGAGCATTTATAAATCCGGGCATATAGAAGTTGAAGCAATATTGAGAGCGACTGTTTAAAACACTTAAGCCTCTTGAACACGGATCACCTTCAGCTTTGCTCAAGAGCTCAACTTGTGCTCTTTAAGCCAATTACCCAACTTCGTTTAATCCATAACTATTAACGTGAGTTGCACTGTAGAGCAAGACTCGTAGCAAGCTATAACAGGTATAAGGGGTATTTTACTTCGTGGGAATGGGAAGTGATCACGCGTCACAAAGTCACGTGAGCACGGAGTCAGATTTAACAGCTGAACTAATATAAAACTGCTAAGTGCTACTGTTTGAAATATCACCATAAACTGACTAGTGAGAGGCTGCCAACTATCTGAATGGCACTTTGGGTCACCTCTACAGCTGGACTCACCTCTAAATTCAGTGGAGTATAAAGATACAAAACTTAAATGTATGACAATGTTTTAGTCGACATATTATTGTTATAATATGTACAAAGATAATTGTAACAGGAGACAATAAAAGAGCTCAGCTAAATGGTAAAGAGCACATGACGAAGATTATTATAAAGGAACATGTTCCAAACACCCCCCCCCCCCACACTAACATGTGCACTAACTGCTATTAAAGCAGGTGCACTCAATTAGAATATAAACAAACACCCCCCACACTAACATGTGCACTAACTGCTATTAAAGCAGGTGCACTCAATTAGAATATAAACAAACACCCCCCACACTAACATGTGCACTAACTGCTATTAAAGCAGGTGCACTCAATTAGAATATAAACAAACACCCCCCACACTAACATGTGCACTAACTGCTATTAAAGCAGGTGCACTCAATTAGAATATAAACAAACACCCCCCCCCACACTAACATGTGCACTAACTGCTATTAAAGCAGGTGCACTCAATTAGAATATAAACAAACACCCCCCCCCCACACTAACATGTGCACTAACTGCTATTAAAGCAGGTGCACTCAATTAGAATATAAACAAACACCCCCCACACTAACATGTGCACTAACTGCTATTAAAGCAGGTGCACTCAATTAGAATATAAACAAACACCCCCCCACACTAACATGTGCACTAACTGCTATTAAAGCAGGTGCACTCAATTAGAATATAAACAAACACCCCCCACACTAACATGTGCACTAACTGCTATTAAAGCAGGTGCACTCAATTAGAATATAAACAAACACCCCCCACACTAACATGTGCACTAACTGCTATTAAAGCAGGTGCACTCAATTAGAATATAAACAAACACCCCCCACACTAACATGTGCACTAACTGCTATTAAAGCAGGTGCACTCAATTAGAATATAAACAAACACCCCCCACACTAACATGTGCACTAACTGCTATTAAAGCAGGTGCACTCAATTAGAATATAAACAAACACCCCCCACACTAACATGTGCACTAACTGCTATTAAAGCAGGTGCACTCAATTAGAATATTACAACACATTATCCTACTATTGCCAAGATGGAATTAATTTACACTTAGTTTAGTTGTTCTAGTCCTTGTCTCAAGTTGGGTGTACTATAACAGTAGGTGACAGTGAGATAACTGATTGCTTATACTTATATCAACACAATTTACAAGTGAAGCAAGTGGATTTTATAACAAATTTGAATTTTCACTTTACAAATTATTTATTCACATTTCACAATAAAATTATAAATATATATGATATATGTATATAATGTATATGTAATTTACTCTTTCTAATTTAAACGTCCTATAATCCTTCAGAGACACTATGGCCCAGTAACTATTTCTAATTATTGCGCAATCTCTTTTCTTTCACACAATTACATGGTAAGCAACTGAGCAACTTGTCTAATAGAGTTAATGAAGAAAGGCCTAACCATTTCACCTTTGATTCTTAGGCCAATAATTCCATACCATTGCTTCGTCCGAAAAAACTGTTTCATGAGATCATAGAGAATAAGTAATAGGGTACAATTATATATTGTTGCAACATTGTTTACGTTGTAACAATATAACACGTGTTTAATAACCATAAAGTATGCAGGGCATTTTATAACACTGTAGTTTCAAATAAGTTACATTTTTTCTCGATTGTAGGAATGTGGTACGAGTCATTTAAAAAAATTAAAATTGTGTAAAGAAGAAGCTTGATCCAGTGCACAGTTTTGTACTGCACGTGAGTAAAATAAAATTTGTATGTACTATCCTACCTAGTTCTTATTAATCTAACTCGAGGGACCTTATGGGTAGAAACCAGAGGGGAGCATTGATCCAACTAAATTGTTTTTGAGTGATGTTCATGGTGATTGCTGGAGCAAGGTACAGAAAAACTCACAGTTTGGGGAAAGGAAAATAGCATGGTAAATCAGGGTTTTAATTTTTGAATAACAGATTTCTCCACAAAATCCTGGTTCCAAATCAGGGGTAATAGTTGACAAGCAATCAAGTATGAGGTAGCTAGAGAAAATGATGAGTCTGACAAGTTTGTTTGTTTTTTTGCTTGTTTTGTTTGTTTGTTTGTTTGTGGGGCACCCACTCTACTTCGACACCAAGTAAGGAGGCTTATGGACAGTGATATCCCGAATGTTAGTGTCCATGTCATCGGGAGGATGTTCTGGGTCACATCCTCCCGATGACATGCGTTATTGTTTCATAAAACAATAACGCATCACTCATTGGTCGATTTTCAATTGTTATTCTGTCCACTGTGATTCAGTTAAACAAAAATTTCAATTTTATGCCATTTATTACAGAGTAAACAAGTTTACAATAAATCAATTTGATATTTAAAGGAATCCTAATTCAATGTGTAGTATGGTTTTCACTCTTTAAATAGATTAGATATAGGTTGACGGGGCAAAGGAGTGTGCGTGCTGTTCGCTATTGCTCACACCCAACAGCAACCTAGTAAATGTTTTGTATGGACACCAGTCTCCATCACGATACAAAATTAGGATTGTAGAATTTATTGTATAACTTTTAGTGCAGTGGAGGTAGCGGTGTGGTGCATTAATAGAAGCTAGTGATTGTTATAAACAAACTTGAAGCTTACGATAATATGATGTCACAGAAATTCACAGCAGATGCCTTATCTATATAATTCTTGTCTTATTTATAGGTACCACTGGGAAGTTTGATTAGGTTTTAAAAATAGGATAATTTTTTGACAATTTTTAAAATAGGATAATTTTTTGACAATTAAAAAAAAATATTTATTTGATAAATAATTAATTTTAGTGGGAAAATATTTATTATATATTTTTCACATAGTGCGATGATATTTTGTAGACATGTGTGATGATGTGATGTCATAATTTTTACTTTTACTTTGCTTTAGTTTACTACCTGCTTGGTGCTTTGGTTGGTAGACTAGGTACTCGAATTCCTTCTTCATCTGATTGTCAAAAATAGTTAATAGTTAGCATTCCTTTGAAATTTCAGTAGATCAAGACAATAATTTAAGAATCGGAAACCTTTGATAACATGGTAAAACTTTGAAATGGTTTGATTCATACCTCAGTGGTCGCAATCAATTTGTCTCCTTAAGGGGGCCGGGGGGGGGGGAGGTCTTCATGGAAATTTTCTCAAAATTGAATTTTTAGTTGTTTCTGATAGAGGGGAGTAATATCTATCAGATGCTTTTGATCCCGTGGAAAAATATTGTTCCTAGCCAAAATTATTGACGGTCAAAGGTCAGCGCGTGTGTGTAATTGTATTGCGCAAGCGATTTTTGATCGCGTGCTCTGAAAATCGAGTCTAAAAATCTATCTTCTCCTACATTTTTGAGCAATCACCCTGAAACTTTCAGGATATGTTCTAGGCATCATTTAGAAGAGATGAGCCAGTCAGAATTTTGAGATTATAGGCTTTTACATATTTTTTATTCGATTTTGAAAATCGTGGACCTCGAAAAATCATCAAAAATCGCTCGCGCAATACAATTACTCACCTTTTCTGTTTCATAATTTACCCGGGCTACGTAAATCGACAAGATCAGGCACTCAACAAATCAACTACCGAGAAGTACCTAAGGAATAAGTAAAACTAGACGATTTGCACATTAGTCACTATCAATCATATGCCACATTTTTAACTGCTCATTCACTGTCATATTGATGGCGCTAGCAGATGCTACATTCACGTATATTAAATAAAATTATATTGTTATATATCATATGATTTTGTAAACATTGGCTTGCAAGTTTACAACCTACCAGGACGCGCGCCGAGAACAGATATTTTACGAGTATCACCCGTTAAAACAAGGACATGATACTATGTGTGGGGACTACGGACCCCATCATAACCCATTTCAAATTTGCCGCCTGGTTACATAGCACTGAAATACAATATAATTCAATATACAAATTCAAAGCAATGTAATGAACATGATAGCCTGAGGTCCCCAGGTAACAACAAACATGTCAAGCATCTCATACACCTCAGCCATATATGCACGTATTGTGTAGTATTTCGATGGAGTGCAGCTCGATATATGTACTCACATCACCAGTGATTATCCAGGGAATGTAATGTGAGTTTTAATGAAGCACATGTCTTGTCAAACTGAGCGATCGTGTTCTACAGATGGGTAGGTATAGCGATATGTGTGCCATTCTTTTTGTTAGTTCAGCTCGTTTTCAATTTTTAATCTTAATTTTAATTTTCAGTACGTTTTACCTAACAATATCATTTTGAAGCTAGCAGAATGGTTTTCAGAGGGCATTAATGAAATGTACTATGAGCTGGTCCCAAGTCCAGACGCCATTTTATTCTTTGTAATTTGCAATAACCCTGTTTAGTCATTGACTACTAATAGGTGTTTCACAGTAATAAAAATCAATTTTGACGACATCGTCTGTTTAGATTACAGTTTGAATCGATGAAACGATGCCAACTCTTTTTGACAAAACATAACATAAAATGTTACTCGTCCAAATTTCTTCGAAGTAGCGCGCGCCGTGTCCATTGTTAATGAACTAACCCGGCGCGCGCTTTTTCGTATGTCGTAGCACTTGCATCGGGCTACTTCACATAGCCATGTGTCTACGCGTACTGTGTAGTGTAGTGTGACGCGCTTGTTTCACAAGTATAAGAGCCGCTGCGCCTTCGGCTTTATCCAAAGCCCTTGCGCTTGCAGTGGCGCGCGCCCGCCTCCCTTCTTTACTTGTGAAACAATTGCGCACCCGCAGTGGCGCGAAAGCACATGGTTAGGTGAAACTGCAAGTGAGAGGGCTCTGGATAGAGAAATCGGGCTACTTCGAAGAAATTTAGACGAGTAACATTTGCGAGCGTGCTAAATCAATTTACAGTGTACAGTCGATCTTCAAAATTTTTCTAATATATAAGGGCCCCTGACAGTTGGAATCTACATGATTCGATGTATTTTCGAACGCTGATTCCGAATCACGCCACATGACTTGTAGGTTTGTAACCTACCAGGACTCGAGTTGGACTCGTCAACGGTCTTGTAGCGCGATGCACTACTGGGTCGCACCGCGCATCAAATAATTCTTCTCGCAACCACACTTCGGTAGATCGGCGAGATGCACCACTGTGCCTCACCGAAGGATTGACATCGTGAATCAATCAACGGTCCTAGTAGGTAGAAATACGACTCAATTACGGCATAGTGCCGTAGATGTTGATTGGCTGAAACATTTGCGCCAATAGGAGAGCTTATATTGAGTCACGTGAGCTATGCGCGGCGTAAAATCACTCTGCAGCTCGAAATTCTGTGATAAAATCGAGCGCTCATCAATTTTGTCTGGCTTTGTAACTTCACTTGGAGGACTTCGCCGCTTCGACGCGCCGCGCAAACTAGCATTCTTGCTTCGCAAGCTCGGGCTTCCAAGCTCGGATGATGATTAATTCTTCAGAGCCACTTAGAGGAAGTGGCTATATATAATGTTTATAAACAACAGAGATTCGGCGGAATAACAGGCTAAGCGCCGCCCAGTAATAGTATTATTAATATCCATCAATATTTGTTTTCGAGCGTTCTTTGACATACGTTGCATCATTGCATGCCACTTTTCGCGCGCGAAGCGCGCGCCGCCGTATTTGGGATACGTAACATAGCGTTCAAAGCGTTCTAAATCTAAATGAAAATCACTCTACACTCGAACTTCGAGATTTTTTCCCTACATTTGCCGAAGGCAAAAAGATCGTAGGAAATAAGTAATCGGGCTTCCGTTTGGATATATGAAGGTGGCCCGACGTTGATGACAAAAGTCTGCTCCTTCGCAATATAGACCACTCCCCTATAATTATGTGTATAGGAAGCGTCGGTTATGCTGCGCGCAACGCTGGCCATGTGTTAATTAATTACAGTGAAATTTCACGTAGGGAAAATTGATCGTGCATGGTTTAATGTTTAACCGCGGCGAAATTCTTGTTCTAAAAGGGGCCCCGATGCTTGACCAACTTCGGAAGTGGCTCACTTTTTTATTTGTATAAAAAGAAACACGTTTCTACATCAAATTTAAATGCTGCAAAAATGCAGAATTATCAGTTATAATTTTCAAATAAACAACACCATCGATCACAATATTCATTTTTAATAAAATTTGTGAAGCTAATACAGATTTTTTATAAGTGTAAATATGTGCGGTATGTGATTCCCACAAGGTAATAGGGCAGTAATAGGAATATAATATAACAATGTTAGTTGCGAGGGCTACAATGTCATTATCTATACATCGTAACCATTTGACCTGGCAATTTAATATTCTTTAGTGTTTTATTATTTATGCCCCAACCTTCGTTAAATCAAGGATTAATTTTACATGTAACAAATGCCAATCATACACAACTTGATATAGTTTCATAATTTCAAAGGAGTACAAATTTACACATAAGTGTGGAAATACAAATTAACATATACGCGACGAATTCAAAAACGTTGTGATAGAAATCAAAAGTTGATAATAATCAAATTAAGCCTGAAATATAAATATAACTTAACATGTCCTTTTCAACATATTATGCTTAATATCAAAGATTGGAATACCGAACACGTATAATAAATTGCCAATTTCATCTCTCATTTCAAGATAAATAAAGTTCTCCTAATAACTCTATGAAAAGACAGAACTTGAAAATTGACTTAAACGCCTGCAGCTGTTTCAGTTGATTGACGAAACAGAATTTCCAAAACGTGAACTTAGAATTAGCAATTTAAATTAGAAAATACAAAGCTAGAAGTGCGAAACGTGTAACAAATATGAACTACTAAAAGTAGTAATATGAAATATTTAACAATACGCTCAATAACTCTACTTGTTAACGTTAATTACACACTTTAATTAGTAGTTAATTAGTGTAAACTAACTGGTCAGATTAGTTAAATACAATTATAAATTCCCAACAATTCTGTTGCCATGATAACAGATACATGTTACATGTTCTGATAAACATGTATTTTAGCGACTATCAAATCTAAAGAAAGAAGAGTTACTACACAATCTCAATATATTTACATAAACCTCACACCTATTATGTCCTATTCTAGGTGCCAGCCACTGTCTAGCTATTTACACATCTCCCACGCATTATGATAAGTGTAATATGTATCTCTTCCTTACGGTGAATATTCGGGATAGTATCTCCCTCATTATTATTTCTTTAGTTTCCAATAAGCAGAGCTTGGTGAGACCTTGCATTCCCAGTGTGTTAAGTGTGGTGTGTTGGAAGTGTAACATGTTAAGTGTGGTGCGTTGGAAGTGCTGGTTGTGTTAGTTGAGTGTGAGTATCCAGCAACATCCGTAGAGCGAGGGAGTGAGCCCTATCTACCACTCTCTGGTAGCTTTTAAAGTCTTGAGCGCACTGTTTACTGTACCTTACACTGTAGGATAAGAGGAAGGGAGAGAGGGAGGAGAGAGGAAGTAGCTCCATACTGTTATCATCCAGCCACTCTACCGTGTACCTGAAGGGTATGTTATCATCCAGCCACTCTACCGTGTACCTGAAGGGTATGTTATCATCCAGCCACTCTACCGTGTACCTGAAGGGTATGTTATCATCCAGCCACTCTACCGTGTACCTGAAGGGTATGTTATCATCCAGCCACTCTACCGTGTACCTGAAGGGTATGTTATCATCCAGCCACTCTACCGTGTACCTGAAGGGTATGTTATCATCCAGCCACTCTACCGTGTACCTGAAGGGTATGCTATCATCCAGCCACTCTACCCTGTACCTGAAGGGTATGTTATCATCCAGCCACTCTACCGTGTACCTGAAGGGTATGTTATCATCCAGCCACTCTACCGTGTACCTGAAGGGTATGTTATCATCCAGCCACTCTACCCTGTACCTGAAGGGTATGTTATCATCCAGCCACTCTACCGTGTACCTGAAGGGTATGTTATCATCCAGCCACTCTACCGTGTACCTGAAGGGTATGTTATCATCCAGCCACTCTACCGTGTACCTGAAGGGTATGTTATCATCCAGCCACTCTACCGTGTACCTGAAGGGTATGTTATCATCCAGCCACTCTACCGTGTACCTGAAGGGTATGTTATCATCCAGCCACTCTACCGTGTACCTGAAGGGTATGTTATCATCCAGCCACTCTACCGTGTACCTGAAGGGTATGTTATCATCCAGCCACTCTACCGTGTACCTGAAGGGTATGTTATCATCCAGCCACTCTACCGTGTACCTGAAGGGTATGCTATCATCCAGCCACTCTACCGTGTACCTGAAGGGTATGTTATCATCCAGCCACTCTACCGTGTACCTGAAGGGTATGTTATCATCCAGCCACTCTACCGTGTACCTGAAGGGTATGTTATCATCCAGCCACTCTACCGTGTACCTGAAGGGTATGTTATCATCCAGCCACTCTACCGTGTACCTGAAGGGTATGTTATCATCCAGCCACTCTACCGTGTACCTGAAGGGTATGTTATCATCCAGCCACTCTACCGTGTACCTGAAGGGTATGTTATCATCCAGCCACTCTACCGTGTACCTGAAGGGTATGTTGTCATCCAGCCACTCTACCGTGTACCTGAAGGGTATGTTATCATCCAGCCACTCTACCGTGTACCTGAAGGGTATGTTATCATCCAGCCACTCTACCGTGTACCTGAAGGGTATGTTATCATCCAGCCTCTCTACCGTGTACCTGAAGGGTATGTTATCATCCAGCCACTCTACCGTGTACCTGAAGGGTATGTTATCATCCAGCCACTCTACCGTGTACCTGAAGGGTATGTTGTCATCCAGCCACTCTACCCTGTACCTGAAGGGTATGTTATCATCCAGCCACTCTACCGTGTACCTGAAGGGTATGTTATCATCCAGCCACTCTACCGTGTACCTGAAGGGTATGTTATCATCCAGCCACTCTACCCTGTACCCGAAGGGTATGTTATCATCCAGCCACTCTACCGTGTACCTGAAGGGTATGTTATCATCCAGCCACTCTACAGTGTACCTGAAGGGTATGTTATCATCCAGCCACTCTACCCTGTACCTGAAGGGTATGCTATCATCCAGCCACTCTACAGTGTACCTGAAGGGTATGTTATCATCCAGCCACTCTACCGTGTACCTGAAGGGTATGCAGCAACCTCAATGACACAATATATGACGAGATTAACAAAATGCTTCCCTCACAACAGAATGTTCACGAGCAATAATCGTTGAAAGGGCGCGACAATGTCCTCGAATATCAATAAGTACCATCTGCAAAATTACAAGTCTCGAACATGAAAAACATCAATGTTATAAGACCAAACGCTTGCACACTGACGTTAGATGTTTAGTCGTACTAATAATATAATTTGCAGTTCTTAAAATGTTTAGTTGGGGTTGCCCCCCCCAGTAGCAGTTGTAGTATTAGTTAAAATGTTTAGTTGGGGTTGCCCCCCCAGTAGCAGTTGTAGTAGTAGTTAAAATGTTTAGTTGTGGTTGCCCCCCCCCCCAGTAGCAGTTGTAGTAGTAGTTAAAATGTTTAGTTGGGGTTGCCCCCCCCAGTAGCAGTTGTAGTAGTAGTTAAAATGTTTAGTTGTGGTTGCCCCCCCCCCTCCCCAGTAGCAGTTGTAGTATTAGTTAAAATGTTTAGTTGGGGTTGCCCCCCCAGTAGCAGTTGTAGTAGTAGTTAAAATGTTTAGTTGTGGTTGCCCCCCCCCCAGTAGCAGTTGTAGTAGTAGTTAAAATGTTTAGTTGGGGTTGCCCCCCCCCCCAGTAGCAGTTGAAGTAGCAGTTAAAATGTTTAGTTGTGGTTGCCCCCCCCAGTAGCAGTTGTAGTAGTAGTTAAAATGTTTAGTTGGGGTTGCCCCCCCCCCAGTAGCAGTTGAAGTAGCAGTTAAAATGTTTAGTTGTGGTTGCCCCCCCCCCAGTAGCAGTTGTAGTAGTAGTTAAAATATTTAGTTGGGGTTGCCCCCCCCCCAGTAGCAGTTGTAGTAGTAGTTAAAATGTTTAGTTGTGGTTGCCCCCCCCCCCAGTAGCAGTTGCAGTAGTAGTTAAAATGTTTAGTTGTGGTTGCCCCCCCCCCCCCCAGTAGCAGTTGTAGTAGTAGTTAAAATGTTTAGTTGTGGTTGCCCCCCCCCCAGTAGCAGTTGTAGTAGTAGTTAAAATGTTTAGTTGAGGTTGCCCCCCCCCCCAGTAGCAGTTGAAGTAGCAGTTAAAATGTTTAGTTGTGGTTGCCCCCCCCCCCAGTAGCAGTTGTAGTAGTAGTTAAAATGTTTAGTTGGGGTTGCCCCCCCCCCAGTAGCAGTTTAAGTAGCAGTTAAAATGTTTAGTTGTGGTTGCCCCCCCCCCCCAGTAGCAGTTGTAGTAGTAGTTAAAATGTTTAGTTGTGGTTGCCCCCCCCCCCCCAGTAGCAGTTGTAGTAGCAGTTAAAATGTTTAGTTGTGGTTGCCCCCCCCCCAGTAGCAGTTGTAGTAGTAGTTAAAATGTTTAGTTGGGGTTGCCCCCCCCCCAGTAGCAGTTGCAGTAGTAGTTAAAATGTTTAGTTGTGGTTGCCCCCCCCAGTAGCAGTTGAAGTAGCAGTTAAAATGTTTAGTTGTGGTTGCCCCCCCCCCAGTAGCAGTTGTAGTAGTAGTTAAAATGTTTAGTTGGGGTTGCCCCCCCCCCCCAGTAGCAGTTGTAGTAGTAGTTAAAATGTTTAGTTGTGGTTGCCCCCCCCAGTAGCAGTTGCAGTAGTAGTTAAAATGTTTAGTTGTGGTTGCCCCCCCCCAGTAGCAGTTGTAGTAGTAGTTAAAATGTTTAGTTGTGGTTGCCCCCCGGCCCCCCCAGTAGCAGTTGCAGTAGTAGTTAAAATGTTTAGTTGGGGTTGCCCCCCCCCCAGTAGCAGTTGTAGTAGTAGTTAAAATGTTTAGTTGGGGTTGCCCCCCCCCCAGTAGCAGTTGTAGTAGTAGTTAAAATGTTTAGTTGTGGTTGCCCCCCCCCCCAGTAGCAGTTGTAGTAGTAGTTAAAATGTTTAGTTGGGGTTGCCCCCCCCCCCCCCAGTAGCAGTTGTACTAACGTTTGCTGGTGGATGTCATGTACTCTAGCAGGCCACCAGTCCTGCTCGTATAATCCCCACACAACACTCTCTCGTCCAATGCAGCTCTTAACATCACTCTCAGCCTCTTCCACCGCCTCTTTCCACTCCTGTACATAATAATGGGTTTATAACAACTATCAATTAGTTAGTTTAGTTAATTGGTATAGTTATCTTATGTTATCTAATGTTATCAAATATTATCTTATGTTATATAATATTATCTTATGTTATCTAATGTTATCTAATGTTATTTAATATTCCCAATATTATTGTAACATTTTATCCCTTTTATTATAAATAATTGTTCAGTCAGACATTACGTAAACTGGGAGGGGCTACAACACATTGACCAAATTTATTGTAGATTAAATATTTGCTTCTAAGGTATTATATATATATGGAATAAGACAGAGAGTGCTCCAAAATCCTTTAAATAAGATCTAGGTTACAGGTTGATACATTACACAGGTGAGTAATGTGCCACCTAAATAAGGTGAGTAATGTGCCACCTAAATAAGGTGAGTAATGTGCCACCTAAATAAGGTGAGTAATGTGCCACCTAAATAAGGTGAGTAATGTGCCACCTACATAAGGTGAGTAATGTGCCACCTAAATAAGGTGAGTAATGTGCCGCCTAAATAAGGTGAGTAATGTGCCACCTAAATAAGGTGAGTAATGTGTCACCTAAATAAGGTGAGTAATGTGTCGCCTAAATAAGGTGAGTAATGTGCCACCTAAATAAGGTGAGTAATGTGTCACCTAAATAAGGTGAGTAATGTGCCACCTAAATAAGGTGAGTAATGTGCCACCTAAATAAGGTGAGTAATGTGCCACCTAAATAAGGTGAGTAATGTGCCACCTACATAAGGTGAGTAATGTGCCACCTAAATAAGGTGAGTAATGTGTCACCTAAATAAGGTGAGTTATGTGCCACCTAAATAAGGTGAGTAATGTGCCGCCTAAATAAGGTGAGTAATGTGCCACCTAAATAAGGTGAGTAATGTGTCATCTAAATAAGGTGAGTAATGTGTCGCCTAAATAAGGTGAGTAATGTGCCACCTAAATAAGGTGAGTAATGTGTCACCTAAATAAGGTGAGTAATGTGCCACCTAAATAAGGTGAGTAATGTGCCACCTAAATAAGGTGAGTAATGTGTCACCTAAATAAGTTTACAATGTCAGTGTGTTTAGGGGTATCACATTACATACCACTAGCAGGGTACCTATATTATATAGTAAGATAACTGTGTTTCATCCCTCGGTGTGTTCTACATTCCTATGTGCGTGTGTACTGTAGTATGACCTAATCTCTTGTGTGTGCTACACTTTAGTCTGATACAGTCTGCAGTCCAGCAGTCTATAACACACAATAGTATTTGGCTTATGTTTGCATTATAGTTATCGTCTGTTTGTTTCTGGTATACGGTAGTAGTAGTACACTAGTGCGGTAGTATGATATATCTAAACTTAACGTTAAGTAATTGATATCTGGTATCTGTATTAATACTTTCTGGTGCCTTTCACTGGTCAGTGGCGAAACGAAGGGATAATATACACGCGAAATAATTTATGTAAATTAGCAAAGTTTGCAATACAACACTTTTACTCACATTTACAAGTAGATTAGACAATCTGTGACGTTACGATACGTCTACAGAGTAAGAGGAATGTATAATTTAGCGGTTATTTTGTTCTGCATACCAAGTTAATTGTACTTCGATAAAAGCTCAGTTTTATCATGTACTCTTGTATTATTATTTTACGTTACTGCAGCTCTTGTATTATTGTTGTAAATTACTGCAGCTCTAGTATTATTATTGTACATTACTCCAGCTCTTGTATTATTATTGTACATTACTGCAGCTCTTGTATTATTGTTGTAAATTACTGCAGCTCTAGTATTATTATTGTACATTACTGCAGCTCTTGTATTATTGTTGTAAATTACTGCAGCTCTTGTATTATTGTTGTACATTACTGCAGCTCTTGTATTATTATTGTACATTACTGCAGCTCTTGTATTATTATTGTACATTACTGCAGCTCTTGTATTATTGTTGTACATTACTGCAGCTCTTGTATTATTGTTGTACATTACTGCAGCTCTTGTATTATTGTTGTACATTACTGCAGCTCTTGTATTATTGTTGTACATTACTGCAGCTCTTGTATTATTGTTGTACATTACTGCAGCTCTTGTATTATTGTTGTACATTACTGCAGCTCTTGTAATATTGTTGTACATTACTGCAGCTCTTGTATTATTGTTGTACATTACTGCAGCTCTTGTATTATTGTTGTACATTACTGCAGCTCTTGTATTATTGTTGTACATTACTGCAGCTCTTGTATTATTGTTGTACATTACTGCAGCTCTTGTATTATTGTTGTACATTACTGCAGCTCTTGTATTATTGTTGTACATTACTGCAGCTCTTGTATTATTGTTGTACATTACTGCAGCTCTTGTATTATTATTGTACATTACTGCAGCTCTTATATTATTATTGTACATTACTGCAGCTCTTGTATTATTATTGTACATTACTGCAGCTCTTGTATTATTGTTGTACATTACTGCAGCTCTTGTATTATTGTTGTACATTACTGCAGCTCTTGTATTATTGTTGTACATTACTGCAGCTCTTGTATTATTGTTGTACATTACTGCAGCTCTTGTATTATTGTTGTACATTACTGCAGCTCTTGTATTATTATTGTATATTACTGCAGCTCTTGTATTATTATTGTATATTACTGCAGCTCTTGTATTATTATTGTACATTACTGCAGCTCTTGTATTATTGTTGTACATTACTGCAGCTCTTGTATTATTGTTTTACATTACTGCAGCTCTTGTATTATTATTGTACATTACTGCAGCTCTTGTATTATTATTGTACATTACTGCAGCTCTTGTATTATTATTATATATTACTGCAGCTCTTGTATTATTATTGTACATTACTGCAGCTCTTGTATTATTGTTGTACATTACTGCAGCTCTTGTATTATTATTGTACGTTACTGCAGCTCTTGTATTATTATTGTATATTACTGCAGCTCTTGTATTATTATTGTACATTACTGCAGCTCTTGTATTATTATTGTACATTACTGCAGCTCTTGTATTATTATTGTACATTACTGCAGCTCTTGTATTATTATTGTACATTACTGCAGCTCTTGTATTATTATTGTACATTACTGCAGCTCTTGTATTATTCTTGTACATTACTGCAGCTCTTGTATTATTATTGTACATTACTGCAGCTCTTGTATTATTGTTGTACATTACTGCAGCTCTTGTATTATTATTGTATATTACTGCAGCTCTTGTATTATTATTGTATATTACTGCAGCTCTTGTATTATTGTTGTATATTACTGCAGCTCTTGTAATATTGTTGTACATTACTGCAGCTCTTGTATTATTGTTGTACGTTACTGCAGCTCTTGTATTATTGTTGTACATTACTGCAGCTCTTGTATTATTATTGTACATTACTGCAGCTCTTGTATTATTGTTGTACATTACTGCAGCTCTTGTATTATTATTGTATATTACTGCAGCTCTTGTATTATTATTGTATATTACTGCAGCTCTTGTATTATTGTTGTATATTACTGCAGCTCTTGTAATATTGTTGTACATTACTGCAGCTCTTGTATTATTATTGTACATTACTGCAGCTCTTGTATTATTGTTGTACATTACTGCAGCTCTTGTATTATTGTTGTACATTACTGCAGCTCTTGTATTATTGTTTTACATTACTGCAGCTCTTGTATTATTATTGTACATTACTGCAGCTCTTGTATTATTATTGTACATTACTGCAGCTCTTGTATTATTATTGTATATTACTGCAGCTCTTGTATTATTATTGTAAATTACTGCAGCTCTTGTATTATTATTGTACATTACTGCAGCTCTTGTATTATTGTTGTACATTACTGCAGCTCTTGTATTATTATTGTACGTTACTGCAGCTCTTGTATTATTATTGTATATTACTGCAGCTCTTGTATTATTATTGTACATTACTGCAGCTCTTGTATTATTATTGTACATTACTGCAGCTCTTGTATTATTATTGTACATTACTGCAGCTCTTGTATTATTATTGTACATTACTGCAGCTCTTGTATTATTATTGTACATTACTGCAGCTTTTAGGTCTAATAACACTGGTAGATCTTTGCCCAGCATGAGATACTGCATGAGGAACAATACGTTTGAGAGAGTGTCCTGTAGATAGTCAGGGGCCATTCCAAGCAATCCTCTTTTTAACATCCAGCCAGTTAAAGCTTTAAAGTGTAGCCAGTAAGTGTAGTTTCCGTAGATCATCTTCCATGTGATCATGTTTGTATTTCCAAGTGACCACTTTTGCAGCAGTATTCTGTATGAGGTGTAATTAGGTGGCTCGTACAGTACACAATGTTTACTGTGTACTACACATATTATACCTTATTGTATACAATGTATATTATATACAGTATACATATTATACCTTATTTTATACAATGTACATATATACAGTATACATATTATACCTTATTGTATACAATGTATATATACAATATACAGTATACATGAAACAATACGACTACTGTTGAAGGAATTTCTGGTGTTTAGAAGGAATCTTTCGTAAAACACTTATTTTTCAACTGTAGAATCTGCTTCTCAAAATTTAATTCGATGTCCAGATTTATTATTGATGAAATAAATCTTAAATTACGGCAGCTCATGTATTCTTATTATACATTATACAAAGCAGCTCATGTATTATCATTATACATTATACATTAAAGCAGCTCATGTATTGTTATTGTACTTCTGTTATATACACTATACATTTGGCGGGCTCGCAGATGTTTACTCTTCGTATTATACCGTATATTATTATAACGTATAATTTGAGTTGATTTGTTTGTAAGTGTGTATGTTTGTTTGTAAGTGTGTATGTTTGTTTGTAAGTGTGTATGTTTGTTTGTAAGTGTGTATGTTTGTTTGTAAGTGTGTATGTTTGTTTGTAAGTGTGTATGTTTGTTTGTAAGTGTGTATGTTTGTTTGTAAGTGTGTATATTTGTGTGTAAGTGTGTATGTTTGTGTGTAAGTGTGTATGTTTGTTTGTAAGTGTGTATGTTTGTTTGTATGTGTGTATGTTTGTGTGTAAGTGTGTATGTTTGTTTGTAAGTGTGTATGTTTGTTTGTAAGTGTGTATGTTTGTGTGTAAGTTTGTGTGTAAGTGTGTATGTTCCCGCTGTTTAGAAGTATGTTCTGGGCCACACACAGCAATAAGATTTGATGTAACATTACGTAGGTGGTATGATCTTACCGGTACCACATTGTAACACGAACGTAGCTTACTTAATTGGGGTTACTATATTGGGGTTCATATTCCTTTTATAAGACTTGACATTTGATCTGAAATAATATGTTCTAACGATAATAAAGTTGAAACCTTATCCCCCCGTGCCCCCCCCCACCTGCTCCAGACTGGGCGTTTTGTAGTTTCACTTATTTAACGGTGCTCTGTGCATTAGTTGCTCCGTGTATTAGTTGCTCTGTGTATTAGTTGCTCCGTGTATTAGTTGCTCTGTGTATTAGTTGCTCTGTGTTTTAGTTGCTCCGTGTATTAGTTGCTCTGTGTATTAGTTGCTCCGTGTATTAGTTGCTCTGTGTATTAGTTGCTCCGTGTATTGGTTGCTCTGTGTATTAGTTGCTCCGTGTATTAGTTGCTCTGTGTATTAGTTGCTCTGTGTATTAGTTGCTCCGTGTATTAGTTGCTCTATGTATTAGTTGCTCCGTGTATTAGTTGCTCTGTGTATTAGTTGCTCTGTGTATTAGTTGCTCTGTGTATTAGTTGCTCTGTGTATTAGTTGCTCTGTGTATTAGTTGCTCTGTGTATTAGTTGCTCTGTGTATTAGTTGCTCTGTGTATTAGTTGCTCTGTGTATTAGTTGCTCCGTGTATTAGTTGCTCTGTGTATTAGTTGCTCTGTGTATTAGTTGCTCTGTGTATTAGTTGCTCCGTGTATTAGTTGCTCTGTGTATTAGTTGCTCTGTGTATTAGTTGCTCTGTGTATTAGTTGCTCTGTGTATTAGTTGCTCTGTGTATTAGTTGCTCTGTGTATTAGTTGCTCTGTGTATTAGTTGCTCTGTGTATTAGTTGCTCTGTGTATTAGTTGCTCTGTGTATTAGTTGCTCTGTGTATTAGTTGCTCTGTGTATTAGTTGCTCTGTGTATTATGTCCGCTGACTTTTACACACGCTTTGATTGATTCATTATTTGTATGAAGGGGAACATGCTAATGTACTAAAATACCTGTTTACAAGGCATCTATACTTGTCACAACTCCGTTAATAATTCCCTTTGATTTGCAGAATGGGAAAAGAGGAAGGAATGGCTAGTGAGGCTCCCCCCTCGTACGTTGACTCCACTCAACCCGCAGCAGCGCCTCCCTATCAATATCCACCACAAGCAAGCTATCCGCCACAAGCAAGCTATCCACCACAAGCAAGCTATCCGCCACAAGCAAGCTATCCACCACAAGGAAGCTATCCGCCACAAGCAAGCTATCCGCCACAAGGAAGCTATCCACCACAAGGAAGCTATCCGCCACAAGGGAGCTATCCTCCAACTGGTTACCCACCTGTACAAGCTGATTATACACCACCCACTAGCAACCATCCTCAACAATATCAACCATATCAAGGTTAGCTACCCCCTCAACAATGTCTACCATATCAAGGTTAGCTACCCCCTCAACAATATCTACCATATCAAGGTTAGCTACCCCCTCAACAATATCTACCATATCAAGGTTAGCTACCCCCTCAACAATATCAACCATATCAAGGTTAGCTACCCCCTCAACAATGTCTACCATATCAAGGTTAGCTACCACCTCAACAATGTCTACCATATCAAGGTTAGCTTCCCCCTCAACAATTTCTACCATATCAAGGTTAGCTACCCCCTCAACAATTTCTACCATATCAAGGTTAGCTACCCCCTCAACAATATCAACCATATCAAGGTTAGCTACCCCCTCAACAATTTCTACCATATCAAGGTTAGCTACCCCCTCAACAATGTCTACCATATCAAGGTTAGCTACCCCCTCAACAATTTCTACCGTATCAAGGTTAGCTACCCCCTCAACAATGTCAACCATATCAAGGTTAGCTACCCCCTCAACAATGTCTACCATATCAAGGTTAGCTACCCCCTCAACAATATCAACCATATCAAGGTTAGCTACCCCCTCAACAATGTCTACCATATCAAGGTTAGCTACCCCCTCAACAATTTCTACCATATCAAGGTTAGCTACCCCCTCAACAATTTCTACCATATCAAGGTTAGCTACCCCTCAACAATATCAACCTTATCAAGGTTAGCTACCCCCTCAACAATGTCTACCATATCAAGGTTAGCTACCCCCTCAACAATTTCTACCATATCAAGGTTAGCTACCCCCTCAACAATGTCTACCATATCAAGGTTAGCTACCCCCTCAACAATTTCTACCATATCAAGGTTAGCTACCCCCTCAACAATTTCTACCATATCAAGGTTAGCTACCCCCTCAACAATTTCTACCATATCAAGGTTAGCTACCCCTCAACAATTTCTACCATATCAAGGTTAGCTACCCCCTCAACAATTTCTACCATATCAAGGTTAGCTACCCCCTCAACAATTTCTACCATATCAAGGTTAGCTACCCCCTCAACAATATCAACCATATCAAGGTTAGCTACCCCCTCAACAATTTCTACCATATCAAGGTTAGCTACCCCCTCAACAATTTCTACCATATCAAGGTTAGCTACCCCCTCAACAATTTCTACCATATCAAGGTTAGCTACCCCCTCAACAATTTCTACCATATCAAGGTTAGCTACCCCCTCAACAATTTCTACCATATCAAGGTTAGCTACCCCTCAACAATTTCAACCATATCAAGGTTAGCTACCCCCTCAACAATATCAACCATATCAAGGTTAGCTACCCCCTCAACAATTTCTACCATATCAAGGTTAGCTACCCCCTCAACAATTTCTACCATATCAAGGTTAGCTACCCCCTCAACAATTTCTACCATATCAAGGTTAGCTACCCCCTCAACAATTTCTACCATATCAAGGTTAGCTACCCCCTCAACAATTTCTACCATATCAAGGTTAGCTACCCCCTCAACAATGTCTACCATATCAAGGTTAGCTACCCCCTCAACAATTTCTACCATATCAAGGTTAGCTACCCCCTCAACAATATCTACCATATCAAGGTTAGCTACCCCCTCAACAATTTCTACCATATCAAGGTTAGCTACCCCTCAACAATTTCTACCATATCAAGGTTGGCTACCCCCTCAACAATGTCTACCATATCAAGGTTAGCTACCCCCTCAACAATATCTACCATATCAAGGTTAGCTACCCCCTCAACAATTTCTACCATATCAAGGTTAGCTACCCCCTCAACAATTTCTATCATATCAAGGTTAGCTACCCCCTCAACAATGTCTACCATATCAAGGTTAGCTACCCCTCAACAATTTCTACCATATCAAGGTTAGCTACCCCCTCAACAATGTCTACCATATCAAGGTTAGCTACCCCCTCAACAATTTCTACCATATCAAGGTTAGCTACCCCCTCAACAATTTCTACCATATCAAGGTTAGCTACCCCCTCAACAATGTCTACCATATCAAGGTTAGCTACCCCCTCAACAATATCTACCATATCAAGGTTAGCTACCCCCTCAACAATTTCTACCATATCAAGGTTAGCTACCCCCTCAACAATTTCTACCATATCAAGGTTAGCTACCCCCTCAACAATGTCTACCATATCAAGGTTAGCTACCCCCTCAACAATTTCTACCATATCAAGGTTAGCTACCCCCTCAACAATTTCTACCATATCAAGGTTAGCTACCCCCTCAACAATTTCTACCATATCAAGGTTAGCTACCCCCTCAACAATTTCTACCATATCAAGGTTAGCTACCCCCTCAACAATTTCTACCATATCAAGGTTAGCTACCCCCTCAACAATGTCTACCATATCAAGGTTAGCTACCCCCTCAACAATTTCTACCATATCAAGGTTAGCTACCCCCTCAACAATTTCTACCATATCAAGGTTAGCTACCACCTTAACAATGTCTACCATATCAAGGTTAGCTACCACCCCTCCCGCCGCTGTAAAATTGAAATAACGTCAGGTGTACAAATGGTGACTGCATCTCCTTGTAACGCTTGCAATATGCAGAATTTTGGAGGGGGAAACCCGATACAAGGTAAGATATTTATGTCGCAATCGATTTTTCTTCTTTAGTATAAGATTATGTAAACCTTTTAGCTTGTGTGTTGATAACAGTCGCTCTCTTATCAGTAGAATCGTTTAATTACACTACGCTCACATACAAGTTAAGTACATCATGGACGATATGGAATTATTAGAACGTTTGTCAGCTCGCTCTGTGTATGTGACTGAAGTGCATCAGGACTTCCATACTTGGATTACAGAACTTAACGGAGTCTCAAACTGTGATGAATCAGAGTTCTCAGCAGAACAATTGGAAAAACCAGGGAAACCGACTAAGAAAGTTATGTCAAAGTTATTGTACAGTTTGTACAGATATATGAAACAATTTGTCAGAGAAGCTGTCAAAATGAAAGAAAATTTGGAGGAGTTGAAGAGCTCTCTTATTCAGACACAAAATTCGGTGATTAAACTGCAGAGTGAACTTCTTGAGGGCAAATCAAAGCAGTTGGAATCTGTTCAGACCACCGTAAAATCTGCCGTTCAGGAAAGTGTACAAGCTGAGATCAGGTCATACAGTAAAGCTGTTTCAAAGGTCCCGCCGGAAACTGCAATGACAGAACAGAGCTTGAAAAAGGTAGTTCAAAGTGCTGTATCGAAAGAGGACCGCAGTAGGAATTTGGTCGTGTTTGGTTTAATGGAGTCAGATGATGAGAAACTATCCGATAAAGTAGACGAACTGTTTGAACAAATCGAAGTAAAACCACGCTTTGAAGCTGTCAGGATTGGAAGGAGATCAGCCGACAAGACCAGACCTGTCAAAATATCGGTTACAAATACCAACAATGTCCACGAGATATTATTGAAATCGAAGAAACTGAAACTGAGCCAGCACCACAAAACAGTTTTCATTTCTCCGGATCGGTCACCTTAAGGAGCAAACCAAACACCATCTGCTGGTATTGGAAATGAAACAGAAGGCAAAGGAAGATTTGAATATACGCTATTATATCAGAAGTGGTATTATTTGTTGTGAGGACAAGATCCTAGACTAATTTAAATCATTTACGACATTGTCATATTCATTTTCATGCTAGTCTTTTTCACTCACCCTTTAGAGCCGCATTGACATGGTTCGTAGCTGGCACTTGTGCCGGCTGCTAATCATATGGGCGGGACATAAGCACATTATTTCATTTCATTTCATTTCATTTCATTTCATTTCATTTCATTTCATTTCATTTCATTTCATTTCATTTCATTTCATTTCATTTCATTTCATTTCATTTCATTTCATTTCATTTCATTTCATTTCATTTCATTTCATTTCATTTCATAGTTAAATTTGTTTTGGAATTAAAATTTTCTGATAAAAATATGCGAACCTGCATATCTAATATTAATTATTCGTAGGAATATAAAATTAACATACTGTATCTGTATTGATTTACAACTCAAATAGTTGGAGTCCTAAGAAAGCAACCATGGAGAAAATGGACACACTCCATCGTAGACACCTCAGGTCCATTTTAAACATCAAATGGCCTAAAGGTATGATAATCAACAAAACATTGTATGAACGGTGCAAAGTTGAAAAGTTATCCAAGCGTATTGAACACCAGCGGTGGAAGATGTTTGGACACATTCTCAGGAGTATGGAGAACACCCCAGCGCAAACGGCTCTCTCTTTTGCAATTGAATCAGATAATTTATTCATTGGTAGATTGGGGAGACCTAGAATGAACTTGTTATCGGTTTTAAGAAGTGATTTAAGTAGTAGAAATTTGCAAATGGACAACTTGCATGAATTGAACGAAATTAGAGATATAGCTGCATGCAACAGATGTTGGGAAAATCTTTTTCAAGGGTACAGTTTACCGCATTAAGGTATTTTTAAGAATCATTTTTGTCGGTAAGATCCTGTTTTATAATAATAATAATACTGTAAACACTATTAACTAACTGCATTCCTACCGCAGGCTGTCTGCTAAGCTCGAATGGAAGAAAATGTCAGTTTATTTACGTAATAGCGGCAGTGGTTGTTGTAATGGTACTCATCTCTACTATTGACGGAGGTAATGCCTTCCCCCAGGCAGCTCTCATTCCTTTTATAATCTTCACAATTGTAGTAAACTTGATGTTTTACATTCCCGTCACCATTCAAAGATCTAGAAACCCCCACAGTTGCGACAGAAAGAACGAGTCACTTTGGTGTTAAGGGGGCTGGGGGGGGGGGGGGGTCTTCTTAAGGACACATTTTTAGAACATTTACATACAATTTAAATTTAGAACATCTTACAGGGTTGCTAAAAGGCTAAAAGCATGAATATATCAAAATTAAATGTTCGTTAAGCTCGGTGAGAGCTATTTTTATCCACATATTGAAATTTATTTTTGAAAGGATTTTAAAATTAAATACGTATACTTGGAATGTTAAGCGGAAATGGTCACATGGGGGCTTTTCTAACACGTTCAGAGAATGATTTATATTAAAACTTGTTTAGAGCTGTTTTACATGTTGCATTATGTACGCTAATCTAACTGCGTATAATGCAATTACACTATTAATATAAGTGGAGTTATATTAATAACTGAAATTAAATTATTAATTATTTCTTTAAAATTTGAATTACGCGAGTAACTTGATTTAATGATTGTTTTCAATTATGTACCAAATAATAAGTATTGATTTTAGATAACACTGTAATATTATACATACATTATACATACATATAATACATATTATGTATATGTAGAATATTATAGGTAGACTAGAAAACCCGTGGTCACAGGGAGGAAACTGATAGCGTTCTTTGAAAGTAAGTTTTTATCGCATAAAAAACATCCATCCCAACCATAGATATAGTCGATCAAAAATTTAAAACACTCTCAACTTCTATTTATTTATCTAATTTGCACGTGGGCGGTCGTACAAAAAGAATCTTTAGAATTATAATATAGACTAGAAAGCCCGTTACGTGGTCACAGGGAGGGAATTTGCAGTTTTATTGCATCAAAAATATCCATCACAACCGAAGACACAGCCGATTAAAATTTATCTCGCACTGAATGAGTGAACACAACGTAATTACCACAAAATGACGTTAAAACAATCTTTGCACGTGCATGTGCGCGTTTCAACACCATTACCATGGTTACTATGCAACTACATATTTCTCATCTGATTAGCACGTGGGCGGTCGTACAAAAAGAATCTTTAGAATTATAATATAGAAGACTAGAAAGCCCGTTGTCACAGGGAGGAAGCTAGTAGTATTTGTTGGTAGTCAGTCTTTATTGCATCAAAAAATATCCATCACAACCGATGATAGAGCCGATTGAAATGTTGTTCGCACTGAACACAACGTAATTACCACAAAACCGAAAATGGCGCTCGCAAATCTTTGCACGTGCACGTGCGTGTAACAACCCTCATAACCATGGTTACTATGCAACTTCCTATTTCTCATCTTATTTGCACGTGGGCGGTCGTACAGACAGAAATAATTTTTTGAATTATAAGTAAGATCGTGATGTCGTTATTCTTGAGTTATCAATATTTATAAGATCAATTTAACAGATTCTCTTTTCTATCATTCGGCTAGCTTAATTATCATTTACCAACTAGTTTTATTTTTCAAGAATACTATCTCTATCAATTATCATTTATTCATCAAGTTTATCCTCTAGCAAAGTTTACAGCGTGAAGTTGACAGCGATGGACTCAGAAAAGGGAGGAGCTGCTCCCCCGCCTTATACTGCCCCAGGCTATCCTTCACCTCAACAAGGCTATCCTCCCGCACCCCCTCAAGCAAGTTATCCTCCCGCACTCCCTCAAGCAAGTTATCCTCCCCAAGCAAGTTATCCACCTGTACCCCCTCAAGCAAGTTATCCTCCCCAAGCAAGTTATCCTCCCGCACCCCCTCAAGCAAGTTATCCTCCCCAAGCAAGTTATCCTCCCCAAGCAAGTTATCCGCCTCAAGCAAGTTATCCTCCCCAAGCAAGTTATCCGCCCCAAGCAAGTTATCCGCCCCAAGCAGGCTATCCGCCCCAAGCAGGCTACCCCGTACAACAATATCCGGCCCAAAATGTGGTAGTGGGAAATCCAGGCTATCCCGGACAAGCAGTTCCAGGTAATTATCACTACACTTATTGTTGGTGCTGTATCTAATTATCACTACAGTTATTGTTGGTGCTGTATCTAATTATCACTTCAGTTATTGTTGGTGCTGTATCTAATTATCACTTCAGTTATTGTTGGTGCTGTATCTAATTATCACTACAGTTATTGTTGGTGCTGTATCTAATTATCACTTCAGTTATTGTTGGTGCTGTATCTAATTATCACTACAGTTATTGTTGGTGCTGTATCTAATTATCACTTCAGTTATTGTTGGTGCTGTATCTAATTATCACTACAGTTATTGTTGGTGCTGTATCTAATTATCACTACAGTTATTGTTGGTGCTGTATCTAATTATCACTTCAGTTATTGTTGGTGCTGTTTCTAATTATCACTACAGTTATTATTGGTGCTGTATCTAATTATCACTTCAGTTATTGTTGGTGCTGTTTCTAATTATCACTTCAGTTATTGTTGGTGCTGTATCTAATTATCACTACAGTTATTGTTGGTGATGTTTCTAATTATCACTACAGTTATTGTTGGTGCTGTATCTAATTATCACTACAGTTATTGTTGGTGATGTTTCTAATTATCACTACAGTTATTGTTGGTGCTGTATCTAATTATCACTACAGTTATTGTTGGTGCTGTATCTAATTATCACTACAGTTATTGTTGGTGCTGTATTTAATTATCACTACAGTTGTTGTTGGTGCTGTTTCTAATTATCACTACAGTTATTGTTGGTGCTGTATCTAATTATCACTTCAGTTATTGTTGGTGCTGTTTCTAATTATCACTACAGTTATTGTTGGTGCTGTATCTAATTATCACTACAGTTATTGTTGGTGCTGTATCTAATTATCACTACAGTTATTGTTGGTGCTGTATCTAATTATCACTACAGTTATTGTTGGTGCTGTATCTAATTATCACTTCAGTTATTGTTGGTGCTGTTTCTAATTATCACTTCAGTTATTGTTGGTGCTGTTTCTAATTATCACTTAAGTTATTGTTGGTGCTGTTTCTAATTATCACTACAGTTATTGTTGGTGCTGTATCTAATTATCACTACAGTTATTGTTGGTGCTGTATCTAATTATCACTACAGTTATTATTGGTGCTGTATCTAATTATCACTACAGTTATTATTGGTGCTGTATCTAATTATCACTACAGTTATTGTTGGTGCTGTATCTAATTATCACTTCAGTTATTGTTGGTGCTGTATCTAATTATCACTACAGTTATTGTTGGTGCTGTATCTAATTAACACTTCAGTTATTGTTGGTGCTGTATCTTATTATCACTTCAGTTATTGTTGGTGCTGTATCTAATTATCACTACAGTTATTGTTGGTGCTGTATCTAATTATCACTACAGTTGTTGTTGGTGCTGTATCTAATTATCACTTCAGTTATTGTTGGTGCTGTATCTAATTATCACTACAGTTGTTGTTGGTGCTGTTTCTAATTATCACTTAAGTTATTGTCGGTGCTGTATCTAATTATCACTTCAGTTATTATTGGTGCTGTATCTAATTATCACTTCAGTTATTGTTGGTGCTGTATCTAATTATCACTACAGTTATTGTTGGTGCTGTATCTAATTATCACTACAGTTATTGTTGGTGCTGTTTCTAATTATCACTACAGTTATTGTTGGTGCTGTATCTAATTATCACTACAGTTGTTGTTGGTGCTGTTTCTAATTATCACTTCAGTTATTGTTGGTGCTGTTTCTAATTATCACTACAGTTATTATTGGTGCTGTTTCTGATTATCACTTCAGTTATTGTTGGTGCTGTATCTAATTATCACTACAGTTATTGTTGGTGCTGTATCTAATTATCACTTCAGTTATTGTTGGTGCTGTATCTAATTATCACTACAGTTATTGTTGGTGCTGTATCTAATTATCACTACAGTTGTTGTTGGTGCTGTTTCTAATTATCACTTCAGTTATTGTTGGTGCTGTTTCTAATTATCACTACAGTTATTATTGGTGCTGTTTCTGATTATCACTTCAGTTATTGTTGGTGCTGTATCTAATTATCACTACAGTTATTGTTGGTGCTGTATCTAATTATCACTTCAGTTATTGTTGGTGCTGTATCTAATTATCACTACAGTTATTGTTGGTGCTGTATCTAATTATCACTTCAGTTATTGTTGGTGCTGTATCTAATTATCACTTCAGTTATTGTTGGTGCTGTATCTAATTATCACTTCAGTTATTGTTGGTGCTGTATCTAATTATCACTTCAGTTATTGTTGGTGCTGTTTCTAACTGTATGGGATGCAACATGGAGAGCGGGATGTATGGTAGATACGGAGGTAACGTTGGAGGTCGTTATGGTCATAACCAATATAACGGTGAGAGCAATAGTACCAGTCCAGTACGCACATGTGTACGCACAGTGTCCAGTACGCACATCGCACATGCACCAATTAATTGCTATCACAAAAGCGAGTTTCACAAACATTTTCAGTATCACCAACAAATATTTTCTACATTTCTACATTTTATATTATTTCCTTTCTATTTTTGCAGGGCCGGGGATTGGAGCGAGACCGTGTAGAATCTGTCAAGTAGTTTTCATAGGTGTGGCAGTACTAGTCCTGATAATAATGGGTGCTACATGGCCCAGTTACAGCTGGGGTCTGCCAATCCCTCACTTCCCTATTGTACTCTTTCTGGGAGTTGCTACTATCTTCTTCATATTCATGTATTCCATTACAACGTGCCAGAAGGCTAGATTCCCCCACACGTGTGACGCCAAAAAGGATCAATCTATATGGTTGTAACTGAGATACAGAGGAAAAAAGGAACTTTTGTTTTAGAGATGGTTTTGATCTCCGTAACCTTGGTAACCTTGGTAACCTTGGTAACCTTGGTACCTTGGTAACCTTGGTACCTTGGTAACCTTGGTAACCTTGGTAACCTTGGTAACCTTGGTACCTTGGTAACCTTGGTAACCTTGGTAACCTTGGTAACCATTAACACTTACAAAGTTAGTTATGAGATAAGTAAACGTCTCTTATAAAGAGACTGGCTAAAAATATCTGTTATGTACAGTGTACTCAGGACATCTTTGGTATTAAATGAGACCATTTAGTGACTTTTATTAATTATTACCACCTCTGTTTCCTTGAAACATAATTTAATAATTAACAATAATAATTATTAATTATGTTGAGAAAATCCAGAAGTTGTCAAGTTTTAGCATAATCTTGTCAGTTTGCTAATTTTAAAGATCTTAAAGGTAATTAATAAACATTGGTAGTAGAAGAATATAAATTATTTTATCATTTTCTTTCAAGATTTGTGTGCTACATTTTTATTGAGTGACCCAGTTGATAATGATGGGTATGGCGCGCTCGAACTTGCACCCTTTTGAAGTTTTGATTGCAAGAAAGAGGACGCCTTATATAGTTATATGGGCATCACGTGTAACACTAAGTACCCACCCTTTGTACTAAAATCTCTCTGGAGTTGACTGTATCTTAATGTCAGCTGATTTTAAGATAAAAAACACGTCTTGAACTACTCTGCTTCATAAGCAATACTAGTTCAGTTACGGTTATGATGATATCCGGTATTTCTTTTAGATGAAAACAAGCTGAAACTGGTTTCAGAGCTTATTTTTTCTATATATTTGGTTTCATGTTTATTTTTTCTAAAGATTGGTTAGTTTCTCTTTTATAGTCGTTAAGCTTAAATAGTATTACATGACAGTATATATCGAAGCTAACCTAATTATGATATATGTACCAACGCTACATAATATGCAGTAATGGGAGAGAGAGCGAGAAAATGTGAGCCATTTTATGTCACATTTGTGGTACAAAACCATCAAATAAACCAATTACCGTCGGCCGATTTAAAAAAATTTGCTTATTGGCTTCGTCAGAGTTTTGTCGTTACTATACCGAAAAAATCAGTCCCGTAACTGTTACTGTTTTTTTAAATATAGCCGCTCGGAAATTTCCTGCACACACACAGATTTATTGAGATTATCATTTAAGATACCATAGAAACATCTTATAGCTTTATCAATAGAAATTAGTATAACAAAATTGCCGCTGATCAGATAATGTTAACGCTATACAACAGAGCTCTAGTATACTGTATACTACAGTAATGTAGTATACTGTATACTACAGAGCTATAGTATACTGTATACTACAGTAATGTAGTATACTGTATACTACAGAGCTCTAGTATACTGTATACTACAGTAATGTAGTATACTGTATACTACAGAGTTCTAGTATACTGTATACTACAGAGCTCTAGTATACTGTATACTACAGTAATACTACAGAGCTCTAGTATACTGTATACTACAGAGTTCTAGTATACTGTATACTACAGAGCTCTAGTATACTGTATACTACAGAGCTCTAGTATACTGTATACTACAGAGTTCTAGTATACTGTATACTACAGTAATACTACAGAGCTCTAGTAAACTGTATACTACAGAGCTCTAGTATACTGTATACTACAGAGCTCTAGTATACTGTATACTACAGAGCTCTAGTATACTGTATACTACAGTAATACTACAGAGCTCTAGTATACTGTATACTACAGAGCTCTAGTATACTGTATACTACAGTAATGTTTTTTTATCTAGACACTTATTTTACTTCGGAGTATTCCAACAGCCATATTGTTACACAAGTGCAACCAGCCAATTACAGGAAGCCGAAGGATTTGTTTTTAGCCAGTGACGGTTAAGGTAGTGTGTACCATACTTTGAAAAAAATTACTAATGATAATTTGAAGTCCGGTTAAAACTGATCTTTAAAAATGTTTGCTCAGAACGTAGCGTTGATAGACTTTACGATAATTTTCAACATTTTCTGCAAACATTTTGCTATATTTTACTATGTATAATATAGATATATATAACATATATGCAGTGGGCTCCTTGTAACATGAGCGTGTATATATCGAGACATTTACAAATCTAATAAGGTACTAGTAACTAGAGGCTCAAGTTCTCAACCTAATAATATCTGGGTTTACCTGACTTTACCTTAGTTTCGTTACAGTTGTCATGTTCTGTCAAAATGGCACCACCTATCTGGAAGTATCATTACCTCCAGAAAACAGAACAGATGTTGAAACCTTCAGCACATTTTGCTCAGTGTCCCTACAGTTTGTAAAGTACGCCTCACTACCTGTGGGTTTTGCAATAATCCTGCTCACTACCTCCGCTTTCATTGCTCTGAAGTCCCGCTTTAAGATGACGGATAATGGTACGGGGGTTATCTTCATGGCAGTGGTTACCCTAGACTTTCTAAACGGCTGGCTATGTTTCAGACTGTTTGAACAGCTTGGGTTCAGGAAGATAATATCATTTAGCGCCGACACTACGAGGCTGATATTGGAGTGGGGGACCTGGCTCATTCTGTACACATCATGGGTTCTCAAGTTCTTCCTCTGCGCGTACCAGATGCACAGGTTCCTGATGGGGAATCTAAACGTGTCGTGGTATCCAGCGCGACCCAACCTTTCAAGAGCACCAACACCCCTGAGCAAGAGAGCTGGGTACGCTATAGTGGCAGTCTCCCTGATCTGGTCCCTAGCCCAGATGACGGTCATGTACCTGACGAGTTACTACAATATTAAACACGTGTCCGTTCCTTTTCTAGGGATTCAGACTATGGTACTGTTTGCTTGCAGCTGGTTAGTAGCAGGACTTTACATCTTCACTAGATACGATTCCTCGTCCAGTCCTCTGGAGAGGTTTATAGCTAGCACTATCGGTCTCAACTGTGTCTTCACCCTTCTAGCGGACACCTTCCTCACATACGGCGACTTGAGCTGCTTGTTCGGCTACTCCACCCCCAGTTACATGAAACCAATGTGCTACTGTATCTTAGCTCGGTTTCTCAGTTACTCGGACAGTATCTTCTTCTCTGCAACTCTGTTCCGGAGCAGTGTGGTGAGGAGATATTTCCTGGAGGCGATAAGAAGACCAGGCACTAACCAGAAGGAACAGCTCTCTGGCGAGGAGAAGAGGAGGTCTCTGGTGCAGACCTTGTCTGAAGATGACATGAACAGTTACCCTGTTAATGCAGATACTAGGAACCAAAATAACTTTAGAAGAGTTACCATAAATGATGAGTAGGTGTTGACTGCATTACTGGCATGCTGTGTTAAGCATGCAGTTATGTGTTTTTACGCTCGGCAGATCTTGTCATATGATCAATCATCTAACATTATAGCCAAGGTGTAGGAAGCGGGGGGCAGGGGCCATCCCCCCTTCTCAGTAATAGTTGTAACTATATGTATTAAAAAGAAGGTCTTTTAACGATAGTTACGGAGATAAGCGAATATATTATGTGTGTTAAATGTTCATTATATTTAAATATGTGTGTATATCTTTAATATAAATTGATTGTAATTAAATATTTTAAGGCATTAGTGCAGAGTAATGCCTCCGGGTAGTGCTCCTCAATCAATCAATCAATCAAATAATAATAATAATAAATTGAATTATAAACACTGCTTTTAAGTTGTAAAACTTTTACTCAGCAGTGTGAGAACAACTACATACAAAAGAACAAACTGAGATAAGTGCCACAAAAACTCTATCCTAAAATAACAGCCTTCCCAGCAATACACGATTTATTAATATAACTCAGTAACCTAGAGTCTCGAGTTCATGAATAAAGTTTTTCCAAATCATGATTTGATAAACTGAACAGATAAGTCTTGAGGGCCGATTTGAAGCTGTTACTAGTAGGACAGCTTTGAACAGACAGAGAAAGGTTGTTGAAGATTTTGGGACCTATCACGCTGAAAGATCTTTGGCCTGCTAATGAATAAGCGTGTGGAACACCGAACAATCAACTTGAGAGAGTGACCATGATGGGAGTACCGAAACATTTGTTGGAGGTATTCTAGGGCAGATCCTACAATCGCCTTGTGGTTGTGAGCAAGTAGTGCTAGCTTGAACACCACACGTTTTCGGACATCCAGCCAATGGAGTTTCTTTAGGTCATCACCCAATGATCATGTTTATATTTACCAGTGACAGCTTTGGCTGCAGCGTTTTGAATTAACTGTAGCTGGTGCCATACTTTTTCAGTTGCACCGAAGAAGAGGCCATTGCAGTAATCAAGGCAGGTTTGAAATTGTTTAATTTTCTAACAATATTCATCAATTTATTGTTGAATTGAGCGTGAATCATTGTTAAATTCATCCATACCGCCGTAAACACACAGCTTAATATTTCCAATCTTTATAATATCGCCCTTATTCTCCCATAATACGTTTATAAATATCTCAGTAAATTATGACTCGACTGGTCGAGTAGTTTTAGATTTGCTTGGTTGGGTATCACATTACGCACGCCTGCGGTCTTATCTACGTTTTTATCTTTGATGGTGTGAGGTCATCGTTTTACTGTGATCCTGCCTTCTTTGTTGTAACTTTGAATGTAGTCCGTTTCAAGTTGTTATCTAAATTTTTTCCCGATCCATGACTCAAAGTGCCGAAGGCACAAAAGAGTCAAGGACAAGGGTTGGCGAACGAGGTTTTTTTTGTATATGGTAGCTCCGCGACCGTGCCTGCGACCGTACATAAGTGCCCGCGCGCACTGTTGTCGCCCACGTTCATACCTGCGCAAAGTTATTTTGCGCGATTATAACCTGAATTAAACAATTGTTGGCGCACGTTGCTGAACTGACCAAGTACATTGTCGATTGTTAATTTCACCATGTACGTATCCCACTAGGCACTAATTGATAGCATATTATTATTATTATTTTGAGTTAGTATTACTATTTTGCACAGATCCGTGTCAGGTTGCATAAACAATAAACATATGGTTACACTTACATATAAATATACATGATTTTCAAATTCAATATGGAATTATATTAACTACGCTCGGCCTGTCACTCCGCCATATCTGCATGCTTATAAAAAGTAAAAACTGGGGTCCCCATACCAGGTTGTGTGGAATATGATAAAATATGCCATCACGGATCGGGAAATTGAGCGGCCATCCACAAAAGAAAAGCGGCCACATTTCTTGTTCTATTATCTTATCGTTCAATTTGATCGTGTCTTATTTTGAGTGTTTGAATATTGTAAGTTGTACAGTATACTGAAAGTCGGGGTTGTTGTACAGTATACTGAAAGTAACGATTATAAATCAAAAATACATTTTTAAAAATTCAGAATTTGAGATAATTCAAGTTGTACTGATTGTTTGTGAAATTGGGATTTAACAATATTTCTAATACCGTAGGCGACATGGGAGAACAAAATATTGTTATCAAGATAAGAGACGGAGATCCTTTGCTGGTCTCAAAAGAACGACTCACAACTGAGAGTCGTATGTTTCGTTACCTAATAGAAGAGCTGAAGTATAATGAGCTTGAAATGGATGATTTTACACCTGAAGCTGTGACCTTGTTTCTAACCTTACTAGAGGACAAACAGTTTGTAGATATTGAAGATCATATGTACAAAGAGATACATAAACTTTCCAGAGTATTTGAAATCGATTGGTTAAATGAAAGCTGTATAAGTTGGTTGAGGAGGAGAATCAACTCGGCCACAAAAACTGCAGACAAGACATTCACATTGAATGAGAGCTGGTATATCTTTATAAAGTGGGAGGATAAAGATATGTTGAACGAGTTAAAGTCCTGTCTATTGGTCCAGGACAATTCAGCATTCATCTCCGAGTATATGTCGGATGTTGACAGACTGGAGGAAGGCAAATAGATCTGATGTTGACATTGGGAGGAAGTAACACTGATCTGTTTCTTCAAACTATAATGCAGAATTTGACCGGGCAAAGAAAACTTCAAGACAAGATAAAGTATCTCCTTCAAAATATAAACCTCGCGTTCTGTAGTGAACGGAATGAAGAACTTTATCTTCATGTTTTTGAAGATGTATCAAATTTACCTGAAATAACAGTAGCTGATATGCAGTTTTCTTTAAAATTGATGTCGGATACTTCAAGATTGGTCACCAGGCGTAGAGAGAGAACGAAAACGAAATCGTTGCTGGTTTATGATAACAAGAAATATTTGGATCAAACTAGTAGCTGTACAAAAAGTAATGAGAATATAAAGGGCATTTCTGAAGATCGCGTTACAACGATGTTCCTGGTGGTCGAGCAATTGCTTCGGGTTTTCTACAAAAACACACCAGATAAAGAAGAGGCAATGACATTTTTAACTTCACTTCAGAACCTCTGCAGCGAGAAAAGGCTCCAAAAAGTATCAGGCGAATACTAAGATACCATTATTGCTGCCTTAAAGTATTCCAATCTTGCACAGTCTGATGATATTATCAATATGCTCAATGAGATTAAGAGTAATGATAAGCTCACCACAAGTCATCAGAACGTTATCATAAAAAGTGATAAGTACCTAATTAAAGTAACAAAAGATAATATGGAGTACAAAGACCTGTTTACCTTTAAACACCCTGGTACAGGAACCTGCACAGAGACAGGTAAATGTGGTTTTATCTTGAGAGCAGCTAAACCAGACAGTAAATCTACATTTGAACTGTGTACAAACAGTGAGGATTATACAGACACTGGATTACACTTCCATGATATCATCTCTGCACATGAAATGTTCTGGTATCGTACTAGGTCAAGACACACAGCTGCTGGTAACAAAGTAACTGTGGTAGGTGGGGGGAAGTGGTGGCACTATTGGTTACCTGACTATACATACTGGGATAATGTAGGGCAGTATATAGCTTATAATGTTACTGATTATATGGTTGCTAAACTAGATAATACTTATTGTTTATTGTTTAAAGTGTTCATTAGGTTTATTAAGTTGTAGTACACTGTACATTATGATTTTGAGTGAGTACAGGACAGGCATTTCACGTATGTTAACTGTTATTATATTATGATTATGTACTTTGCCGGCTGAAATTTGGTAAGTATAAATAACCGTTGCGCTCATAGTTTCAACTCCATTTGCGAGCTGAAATTGGTCACGCCAGAGGGTCATTTTTAGGTCGATTTTCAGTGGTTTTTCTTCTATGTCCCCGTTGCCGGGGGGATTTCGTCAAGTTTAAAATATTATATAGATAAATTGTAGTGTATCAAATCCGTCATAGTTCATAATCTGTCGCGTGATTTGTCAACAAAAAAACAGCTATAAGGCGCCAGAGCTTCAGCGTTTATTTGGGGTGGGGGGATATTCACAATTCACATTTCACATGCTTATAAACTCAGCGGGTATATTATATCATTATAAAATTGCCGGGGTTATGTGTGTTGTAACATGCAGTTCCAATATATTTACATACACGCGGCAGGTGGAAACTCACGTGCGATTGATGTTATGTTTTAATATACACAAGAACTAATAATGCTGTACAACCACAATATGTCACAACCACAATATGTCACACTCACAATATAATATGTCACACTCACAATATGTCACAACCACAATATGTCACACTCACAATATGTCACAACCACAATATGTCACACTCACAATATGTCACAACCACAATATGTCACACTCACAATATGTCACAACCACAGTATGTAATCTGGTTGATTAGGTTTACAGCTTCAGAAATGCGCCGTGAAACTAGGAGACACATTACTCACTGCATGACTACCCCCCCGACTAATGCAAGGAACATCACACACGGACATGCAGGAGGCGCTGAAGAGGGGGCTAGATGCTCTTGTAGCAGGGTGCTACCCTGCTACTGATGGTGCTACCCTACTACTGATGGTGCTACCCTGCTACTGATGGTGCTACCCTGCTACTGATGGTGCTACCCTGCTACTGATGGTGCTACCCTGCTACTGATGGTGCTACCCTGCTACTGATGGTGCTACCCTGCTACTGATGGTGCTACCCTGCTACTGATGGTGCTACCCTGCTACTGATGGTGCTACCCTGCTACTGATGGTGCTACCCTGCTACTGATGGTGCTACCCTGCTACTGATGGTGCTATCCTGCTACTGATGGTGCTACCCTGCTACTGATGGTGCTACCCTGCTACTGATGGTGCTACCTTGCTACTGATGGTGCTACCCTGCTACTGATGGTGCTACCCTGCTACTGATGGTGCTACCCTGCTACTGATGGTGCTACCCTGCTACTGATGGTGCTACCCTGCTACTGATGGTGCTACCCTGCTACTGATGGTGCTACCCTGCTACTGATGGTGCTACCCTGCTACTGATGGTGCTACCCTGCTACTGATGGTGCTACCCTGCTACTGATGGTGCTATCCTGCTACTGATGGTGCTACCCTGCTACTGATGGTGCTACCCTGCTACTGATGGTGCTACCCTGCTACTGATGGTGCTACCCTGCTACTGATGGTGCTACCCTGCTACTGATGGTGCTACCCTGCTACTGATGGTGCTACCCTGCTACTGATGGTGCTACCCTGCTACTGATGGTGCTACCCTGCTACTGATGGTGCTATCCTGCTACTGATGGTGCTACCCTGCTACTGATGGTGCTACCCTGCTACTGATGGTGCTACCCTGCTACTGATGGTGCTACCCTGCTACTGATGGTGCTATCCTGCTACTGATGGTGCTACCCTGCTACTGATGGTGCTACCCTGCTACTGATGGTGCTACCCTGCTACTGATGGTGCTACCCTGCTACTGATGGTGCTACCCTGCTACTGATGGTGCTACCCTGCTACTGATGGTGCTATCCTGCTACTGATGGTGCTACCCTGCTACTGATGGTGCTACCCTGCTACTGATGGTGCTACCCTGCTACTGATGGTGGTAGCAGTTAGTAACCTGAGTAAGGGACTCTGATCGCGTGTGTCTGTCTGTGTCGGCTACTTCGCACTGAACAAGTAAATACTACGCCTCATAATAACACCAACAACAATATTAAATAGCCAAGTTTCAAGTAGTTGAAAGATACAGGTGTACACTGAGAATGTGCGCAGTGCAGTTAGTCTGCACAAGGAACAGTCAATATACAATGTATATTATACATGAGCCGTTACAATAACAAGATAATACTATAATACTACTAACGGTACAGTCAATATACAATGTATATTATACATGAGCCATTACAATAACAAGATAATACTATAATATAACTAACGGTACAGTCAATATACAATGTATATTATACATGAGCCGTTACAATAACAAGATAATACTATAATACTACTAACGGTACAGTCAATATACAATGTATATTATACATGAGCCATTACAATAACAAGATAATACTATAATACTACTAACGGTACAGTCAATATACAATGTATATTATACATGTTTAGTTACAATTACAAGATAATGCTATAATACTACTAACGGTACAGTCAATATACAATGTATATTATACATGTTTAGTTACAATAACAAGATAATACTATAATATAACTAACGGTACAGTCAATATACAATGTATATTATACATGTTTAGTTACAATAACAAGATAATACTATAATACTACTAACGGTACAGTCAATATACAATGTATATTATACATGTTTAGTTACAATAACAAGATAATACTATAATACTACTAACGGTACTGGAGTTGGCAGGATTGAGAGATATCTTGTGTTCTTTACAGCCATCATAGAACCACTCCACGTTACATTTAGCTATCTGCATCACCTCTGACGTATTGTAGAACAGCACACATACTGTCAGACCTAGAGAATATTGTAAACTGTATTATAGTAGCAGTGTTGTAGAACAGCACACATACTGTCAGACCTAGAGAATATTGTAAACTGTATTATAGTAGCAGTGTTGTAGAACAGCACACATACTGTCAGACCTAGAGAATATTGTAAACTGTATTATAGTAGCAGTGTTGTAGAACAGCACACATACTGTCAGACCTAGAGAATATTGTAAACTGTATTATAGTAGCAGTGTTGTAGAACAGCACACATACTGTCAGACCTAGAGAATATTGTAAACTGTATTATAGTAGCAGTGTTGTAGAACAGCACACATACTGTCAGACCTAGAGAATATTGTAAACTGTATTATAGTAGCAGTGTTGTAGAACAGCACACATACTGTCAGACCTAGAGAATATTGTAAACTGTATTATTGTAGCAGTGTTGTAGAACAGCACACATACTGTCAGACCTAGAGAATATTGTAAACTGTATTATTGTAGCAGTGTTGTAGAACAGCACACATACTGTCAGACCTAGAGAATATTGTAAACTGTATTATTGTAGCAGTGTTGTAGAACAGCACACATACTGTCAGACCTAGAGAATATTGTAAACTGTATTATTGTAGCAGTGTTGTAGAACAGCACACATACTGTCAGACCTAGAGAATATTGTAAACTGTATTATAGTAGCAGTGTTGTAGAACAGCACACATACTGTCAGACCTAGAGAATATTGTAAACTGTATTATTGTAGCAGTGTTGTAGAACAGCACACATACTGTCAGACCTAGAGAATATTGTAAACTGTATTATTGTAGCAGTGTTGTAGAACAGCACACATACTGTCAGACCTAGAGAATATTGTAAACTGTATTATTGTAGCAGTGTTGTAGAACAGCACACATACTGTCAGACCTAGAGAATATTGTAAACTGTATTATTGTAGCAGTGTTGTAGAACAGCACACATACTGTCAGACCTAGAGAATATTGTAAACTGTATTATAGTAGCAGTGTTGTAGAACAGCACATATACTGTCAGACCTAGAGAATATTGTAAACTGTATTATAGTAGCAGTGTTGTAGAACAGCACACATACTGTCAGACCTAGAGAATATTGTAAACTGTACTATTGTAGCAGTGTTGTAGAACAGCACACATACTGTCAGACCTAGAGAATATTGTAAACTGTATTATTGTAGCAGTGTTGTAGAACAGCACACATACTGTCAGACCTAGAGAATATTGTAAACTGTATTATTGTAGCAGTGTTGTAGAACAGCACACATACTGTCAGACCTAGAGAATATTGTAAACTGTATTATTGTAGCAGTGTTGTAGAACAGCACACATACTGTCAGACCTAGAGAATATTGTAAACTGTATTATAGTAGCAGTGTTGTAGAACAGTACACATACTGTCAGACCTAGAGAATATTGTAAACTGTATTATTGTAGCAGTGTTGTAGAACAGCACACATACTGTCAGACCTAGAGAATATTGTAAACTGTATTATTGTAGCAGTGTTGTAGAACAGCACACATACTGTCAGACCTAGAGAATATTGTAAACTGTATTATTGTAGCAGTGTTGTAGAACAGCACACATACTGTCAGACCTAGAGAATATTGTAAACTGTATTATTGTAGCAGTGTTGTAGAACAGCACACATACTGTCAGACCTAGAGAATATTGTAAACTGTATTATTGTAGCAGTGTTGTAGAACAGCACACATACTGTCAGACCTAGAGAATATTGTAAACTGTATTATTGTAGCAGTGTTGTAGAACAGCACACATACTGTCAGACCTAGAGAATATTGTAAACTGTATTATAGTAGCAGTGTTGTAGAACAGTACACATACTGTCAGACCTAGAGAATATTGTAAACTGTATTATTGTAGCAGTGTTGTAGAACAGCACACATACTGTCAGACCTAGAGAATATTGTAAACTGTATTATTGTAGCAGTGTTGTAGAACAGCACACATACTGTCAGACCTAGAGAATATTGTAAACTGTATTATAGTAGCAGTGTTGTAGAACAGCACACATACTGTCAGACCTAGAGAATATTGTAAACTGTATTATAGTAGCAGTGTTGTAGAACAGCACATATACTGTCAGACCTAGAGAATATTGTAAACTGTATTATAGTAGCAGTGTTGTAGAACAGCACACATACTGTCAGACCTAGAGAATATTGTAAACTGTATTATTGTAGCAGTGTTGTAGAACAGCACACATACTGTCAGACCTAGAGAATATTGTAAACTGTATTATTGTAGCAGTGTTGTAGAACAGCACACATACTGTCAGACCTAGAGAATATTGTAAACTGTATTATAGTAGCAGTGTTGTAGAACAGTACACATACTGTCAGACCTAGAGAATATTGTAAACTGTATTATTGTAGCAGTGTTGTAGAACAGCACACATACTGTCAGACCTAGAGAATATTGTAAACTGTATTATAGTAGCAGTGTTGTAGAACAGCACACATACTGTCAGACCTAGAGAATATTGTAAACTGTATTATTGTAGCAGTGTTGTAGAACAGCACACATACTGTCAGACCTAGAGAATATTGTAAACTGTATTATAGTAGCAGTGTTGTAGAACAGCACACATACTGTCAGACCTAGAGAATATTGTAAACTGTATTATTGTAGCAGTGTTGTAGAACAGCACATATACTGTCAGACCTAGAGAATATTGTAAACTGTATTATAGTAGCAGTGTTGTAGAACAGCACACATACTGTCAGACCTAGAGAATATTGTAAACTGTATTATAGTAGCAGTGTTGTAGAACAGCACACATACTGTCAGACCTAGAGAATATTGTAAACTGTATTATAGTAGCAGTGTTGTAGAACAGCACATATACTGTCAGACCTAGAGAATATTGTAAACTGTATTATTGTAGCAGTGTTGTAGAATAGCACACATACTGTCAGACCTAGAGAATATTGTAAACTGTATTATAGTAGCAGTGTTGTAGAACAGCACACATACTGTCAGACCTAGAGAATATTGTAAACTGTATTATAGTAGCAGTGTTGTAGAACAGCACACATACTGTCAGACCTAGAGAATATTGTAAACTGTATTATAGTAGCAGTGTTGTAGAACAGCACACATACTGTCAGACCTAGAGAATATTGTAAACTGTATTATTGTAGCAGTGTTGTAGAACAGCACACATACTGTCAGACCTAGAGAATATTGTAAACTGTATTATTGTAGCAGTGTTGTAGAACAGCACACATACTGTCAGACCTAGAAATATTGTAAACTGTATTATAGTAGCAGTGTTGTAGAACAGCACACATACTGTCAGACCTAGAGAATATTGTAAACTGTATTATTGTAGCAGTGTTGTAGAACAGCACACATACTGTCAGACCTAGAGAATATTGTAAACTGTATTATTGTAGCAGTGTTGTAGAACAGTACACATACTGTCAGACCTAGAGAATATTGTAAACTGTATTATTGTAGCAGTGTTGTAGAACAGCACACATACTGTCAGACCTAGAGAATATTGTAAACTGTATTATAGTAGCAGTGTTGTAGAACAGCACACATACTGTCAGACCTAGAGAATATTGTAAACTGTATTATAGTAGCAGTGTTGTAGAACAGCACACATACTGTCAGACCTAGAGAATATTGTAAACTGTATTATAGTAGCAGTGTTGTAGAACAGCACACATACTGTCAGACCTAGAGAATATTGTAAACTGTATTATAGTAGCAGTGTTGTAGAACAGCACACATACTGTCAGACCTAGAGAATATTGTAAACTGTATTATTGTAGCAGTGTTGTAGAACAGCACACATACTGTCAGACCTAGAGAATATTGTAAACTGTATTATAGTAGCAGTGTTGTAGAACAGCACACATACTGTCAGACCTAGAGAATATTGTAAACTGTATTATTGTAGCAGTGTTGTAGAACAGCACACATACTGTCAGACCTAGAGAATATTGTAAACTGTATTATTGTAGCAGTGTTGTAGAACAGCACACATACTGTCAGACCTAGAGAATATTGTAAACTGTATTATAGTAGCAGTGTTGTAGAACAGCACACATACTGTCAGACCTAGAGAATATTGTAAACTGTATTATTGTAGCAGTGTTGTAGAACAGCACACATACTGTCAGACCTAGAGAATATTGTAAACTGTATTATTGTAGCAGTGTTGTAGAACAGTACACATACTGTCAGACCTAGAGAATATTGTAAACTGTATTATAGTAGCAGTGTTGTAGAACAGCACACATACTGTCAGACCTAGAGAATATTGTAAACTGTATTATAGTAGCAGTGTTGTAGAACAGCACACATACTGTCAGACCTAGAGAATATTGTAAACTGTATTATTGTAGCAGTGTTGTAGAACAGCACACATACTGTCAGACCTAGAGAATATTGTAAACTGTATTATTGTAGCAGTGTTGTAGAACAGCACACATACTGTCAGACCTAGAGAATATTGTAAACTGTATTATAGTAGCAGTGTTGTAGAACAGCACACATACTGTCAGACCTAGAGAATATTGTAAACTGTATTATAGTAGCAGTGTTGTAGAACAGCACACATACTGTCAGACCTAGAGAATATTGTAAACTGTATTATAGTAGCAGTGTTGTAGAACAGCACACATACTGTCAGACCTAGAGAATATTGTAAACTGTATTATTGTAGCAGTGTTGTAGAACAGTACACATACTGTCAGACCTAGAGAATATTGTAAACTGTATTATTGTAGCAGTGTTGTAGAACAGCACACATACTGTCAGACCTAGAGAATATTGTAAACTGTATTATTGTAGCAGTGTTGTAGAACAGCACACATACTGTCAGACCTAGAGAATATTGTAAACTGTATTATAGTAGCAGTGTTGTAGAACAGCACACATACTGTCAGACCTAGAGAATATTGTAAACTGTACTATTGTAGCAGTGTTGTAGAACAGCACACATACTGTCAGACCTAGAGAATATTGTAAACTGTATTATTGTAGCAGTGTTGTAGAACAGCACACATACTGTCAGACCTAGAGAATATTGTAAACTGTATTATAGTAGCAGTGTTGTAGAACAGCACACATACTGTCAGACCTAGAGAATATTGTAAACTGTACTATTGTAGCAGTATTGTTAGTTTCACTAATCACACTATTCAAACTTTACCTGATGATATTTACTAGGCTTAACATTTAAAATGTTAACATAATATTGCTTTAATTGAATAGTAACACTACTATAAACACTATCATGTAACACTACTATAAACACTCCCTATGTAACAGTATAGCACTGTACCTGTTACAGAGAGTATTTTCCCAGGCCAGTACGGCCGCCCCTGACCAGGTGTATATTTGGCAATCACCACATCTCCGATCCCGAAAGGGTTATTGGTCTCCTGAAAATGAAACATGATTATGTTTCTGCTGTTGGTAAAGGATTATGAACAATTAGCATATTTTACTTAAAAGCATAACTCTAGAGTTTAGAGTAGATGTAGTGTACCCCCACCCCCACCCCCACCCCCACCCCCACCCCCACCCCCACCCCCACCCCCACCCCCACCCCCACCCCCACCCCGAGTAGATTACCGTGAACATTTCTTCAGATGTATCCTTAAATTCAGTTTCGTTTGACTCAGTCCTTCTTCTTTTGGAGCCGTTATTGTGGAGCTTGAAACGAGCAGGTTTGCCCCGCTTAATTGGAGTTATCTCCAGTTTAAATTCACGGGGACACCACATGGGCCACTCTAAATCAACGAAAGGGAGTTTTGCGGAGTTTTCAGCAAGTACCGAACTTAGCACTTTTTGGTCATCAATTGAGTGTGACCGCATCCTGAAATGTTGTGAAACCTCTTCTAACTTCCTCTGCACCGTGGCTGGGTCCTCAGACTGGGTGTTATGGCATACATTCACCTCTTTTGGAGGTTTGTTTTGTGTGATGAACTTTTCACCAAATTTCAATTTAGGTTTCTTGATCTTGTTCGGCTCGATTTCACCAAATTTCAATTTAGGTTTCTTGATCTTGTTCGGCTCGAGCCCGTCCAGCCAATTTTCGGTGACAATTTTAGCTTTTTCAAGTTTCTGCTTTTTTGGGCTATTAGGATTGGATCTTGGCTGAGATGGCTTGAAACCTTTTGTCTGAAGTTGCTTAGAGTTCTTTTCGGCGGATTCTTTAGGAGTAACTTCTTTGGTTTTTGTTGCTGCAGTATCCACCGGTGCTGATGCGGCCTCCTGAAGAAAATTAGCTACTCCATCGATAGACTTCTTGTTGTGGTGGGAAGTGCTCTGAAAGGCGGTATTCTGACGAGATGTTGGTGTAACTGCCGGTAAGGATTCAGAATGGTAAGAGAATGTAGCTTCAGTCACGGGGTCAGCAGAGGCACCTACTATAGAGCTCTTCATCGACTTGTAGTCAGAGTATTTTAGTTTCTGTAGTTTCGTTTTGGTACATTCATTGTCAGAATTCTCCGACTCACAGCCACTTTCGAACGACAATCCTGAAAAAATCAATTTATTTCAATGATGTTTCCAGTTTAAATTCCCTTGGGGGGGGGGGGGGGGGGAGGGTCCAACTACATTTTTGTACACTACTTTAGCGTACATTTGGCAAAAATCTGATGGCCATGTACATTAATGGTCATAAAAAATGTACAAAAAATCGGAAATCCCTGGAAACGGAACAGGAAAAAACATATTTTGTACATTTTTGTACATGCACATTTGGCAAAAATCTGGTGGCCAAACAGGAAAAAATATATTTTGTACATGTACATTTGGCAAAAATCTGATGGCCAAACAGGAAAAAACATATTTTGTACATTTTTGTACATGTACATTTGGCAAAATGGCCATGTACAAAAATGTAGTTGGACCCCCCCTCCCTTTGAACATTTCTCAACACATACTCTAAGCACATTTGACAACACGAGACAAAAGAAATCAGTATATACAGTAGTATCAGTATAAATCAGTAGCAAAATAGATTTATAAACTATCTAGTCCTTGTTAGTGACGGGTGGTTACTTTAAATGTGTTAATTGACCTACTAACCTAGCTTAGCTTTTAACTTTTTGTGATATTGCGAAGGAAACTGCTCCGAAATATATCCACACTGAGAAGCCGCACTATGCCTGCAAAGATTTAGCAAAAGTCAATTCTCTACTCAGAAGATAAAAGTTTTAACGAAATTTCTCTACACCAAATAAAGTTGGACTGAGGACTGAGGTGAGCTGTGTGTACAGCACTGCATTAGTATTACTGAGGAGTGCGCTGTGTCTACAGCACTGCATTTACCTGTGAGTATCTGCTACTAGTATCCCACTATAAACACAGCCGTTAACCGTGTGAGATACCATCATCACCTTCTCGCTCTGCAGCTCCACATCGCATATAACCCTTTCCCCGCTAGAACCAGGTTTCTGTGGTGATTTGCTTGAGGAGGCTCCCTGCATAACTCGGGGCACGTTTATGTTGCACTGAGTACCAGTAGTTTTGTTGTTTTGAGGTGTTATCTTATTGTGAGGTGCCACCTTCACGTAGGAGGTTATGATATGCGCTTGTTCGGACAAGTCACTCCCTTCCGGGGCATCGTTAAAGAAGGGGTTTTTCTTCTTAATCTTGGGAGAGTAGAGTATCGGCGATAAATTCACTGATTTTGACTTAGGGGTCGTTGGTTTTCTAGATCCTCCTTGCTTGACTGGAGTCCTCCTCAGTATATTAGGAACAGACCGCGGAGGGGTGAGAGTTAAAGATTTAGGTGGCTGAGGTCGAGGGGAAGTGAACTGGAGCAGAGATGTCTGTATTTGAGGAGAAGGTGGTCCACCAGAAGGCAACGTGACACTGGAGATTGTTGGAGTTGGAGCAACGAACTTCTTATCAAGATACGGATATGAGAGTATCTGAGGAGGCTGTATAGGCTCCTGTTTAATGTCCAGTTGCGTGGTCGGGATAGCTGGAGGATCAGGAGTAGAAGCAGCAGGAGTAGAAGCAGCAGGAGTAGCACCAGACACACGAGTACCACGACACTTCCTATCTACATTTGAAACCTTCTTCGCTTTGTTGATTCGACCGTAGGTTTGCTTGACAATAGTGAGCCGGGGAGAGGTGGTGTCGCAGCTCATAAATCAACTAAAACATCGTCATTTCCTCCTCTTCATTGCTCCATCTCCGGTTGAATCATGACCTATGTGGAAAGTAGATCAAAGTCAAAGTCAACATTCCTCTGGCCACAGTAAGCTAATTATATAATTAAAATTAGGAATTTCTGACAGCGTAATGGTCACAAAGAAGGCACCTAAGGCCGCCAGAAAGGATTGAACAATGAAATGAAACGCGCGTGCGCGAAATCCGAAGACCTCTGCATAGGTAAATGTAATATGTTTGCTAGTTTAAAAGATGTTTTTTGTGTATAGGAAGTGTTTAGACACAAATGCCAGATTATTTATTTGATGTGTGTAAATTTGTTTGAAGAAGTGAAGAGAACCAAAGATTGCATGTTATATCGTAAAATTATCAAAGTTAATTGAACATAACACATCGAAAAGAGCAAAAAGTGACGTCTTAATTAGATTACATCAAAACTTGGAGAAAATGCAAGCCCTCGACTCTCTGCGAACTTCATGTGGTTGCATTATCTACGATTATCTGGCTACAAGTTTAAAGATAGAAAATCAATTCCTGCAAAAATAATTACCATATCCTGCTTAACTCAGCATTCAATCCCTATTATCATTATCAACTGAAATAAAGATGAGCGTGTGGTTAAAATTAGAATGTTATCATAACATTTGGAGTTTCAATGCATTCCTAACATCTAAAAAACTAACAGCAAAATAAACGAGACCAATAAACAGTGCTCTAAGCGGAGAGATGGCCAGAAGCGCCTCCTCCCCCAGAAGCTAGATTCTAGAGCCACATCCTGGCTTACTAACTTACTAAAGTATTAACAAACATACAAAATTCGATCTTGCTACAAAAATCTAATACGAATTTCAATCCATCATATTATTATCGTAATTATTACATTCCAAGATTAACATCGCATCAAGAATGATTGTACATTGTTTAAAAACGAGTAAAATAACACAAAACAATTTCCACATCGTTTAAAATCGTATTTTACCCTTTTATTTTCACCCAAAGATTAAAAACGTTTTAGTCCCAAAATAGGAGCCATCACTGATAGGTTTAGGCAAAGTGTGTAGTCTGATATCTCCCGCATTCCAGACTTAGAAATACCGTCACATCTCTATGTATCACTGGGCAATTGCTATATTTACATCAACAAAACAATATCAAGAGTAATTCCACTCATAAGAAAAAGATAGTGTACTGCTACACTCATTGCTCGAGGCTGGGACGGGGCGGTGGCGCTGGTTTGTGCACAGAGTCCGAGGGATTTTGACTATGTTTCTTAGCCGTATCACTATTTACTGAAGTATTTGACGCATTTCGCGAATGCGTTGGAGTTGGAGTAGCCACATTAGATCTGGAAAAGGTGGGAGAGGCGGTATTCTCAATATTAACAACATCATCAGATTTAAAGGGTCTAGAGGGTGGTAGTACAGGCTTACTAGGAGGACTAGGAGGTTGAGGTCTCTTAACCGGAGGTTTAGGAGGAGCGGGTGAGGCCGGAGTGGAGACAACCTCTTCAGAGTCAGAGTCTCCGAATGGATTTAGATCCTCCTCCACTTCTTTTCCCTGCCTCGTTTCTTTAATATTTTGCTCTAACGTAATGTTAGTCTCGTCAGGAGTAGGGGAATTAAAAGGGTTTGAGTCGTCTGCTTGAGCGGAGGGGACCGGTATGCTTACATCCAGTTCCAGTGATTTACCCTCAATGTGTCGTTTTGGAGGGTCTGGCGTCTTCTCGGAGTCATCATCACTGTCGCCGAATGGGTTACATTCAGTTGAAGCTTGTACAGGTTTAGCGGGAGTAGAGGGCGACAAAACAGGAACAGAATCACTTTTATTGAGGTCCATCCTGGGGGGAGGAGCAGGGGCATTGTTAGGTCGTTTAGGGGTAGGTGCCTTGCCTTTCTTATGAGTCCTTACAGAGGGTCGAGAGGAGTTGATAGCACCAGAAATAGTCATAGAGCGAGGGAGAGACATGCGAGTAGAGTCAGCAGGTAGTGGGTCGGGGAATATTGTAACGTAGTTCTTTATCATTAACTCCACCAAGCTGGAGGAAGCATTCAACGCTGTGATACTGTCACTGTCGTCCTCGTTCTTAGTACGCAGCACATTAGGCCCCAGTACCAGACCCAGATTGCTGGCTCCCATCTTATTCTCTGGCTCCTTACCAGCCACTTGGCTCAGAAACCATATAAGATACTGTAAGTTGACCTGGAAAGAGTTGGGAAGCTTTTGCACGAGATCACGACATCTGGGAACTCTACTTGAAATATTGGGGTTTCCAATGCAGGCGATCCACTGTTCAAACATGGTAAAAGTGAGAAGCGGTTCAGGTAGTTCCCTGAGGTACAGCTTAATGGCCTGAGCCAGGGTAAACACATCATTTTCCCAATCCTCCTCCTCCATACGGTTAGAATCAAACATGGCTTTAAGTTTGCGGAGTTGCGGCAATCCTCCTGCAAGCCGGAAAATACCCGGCTGCTCAATTCCAGACTTCAGCAGAGAGTTGCAGCATCTGTGTAAGACTGAGGCTATTTGCTTGCCAGTAGTTTCAAGGTGCTTATCCAAGTCGGACCCAAATACAGGAGTGTTGACTGATTTCTCGATGTTATCTTGAAGTCCTGGCAGTTTAGCATTTAATATCTTGCTGACATCGTTATACATTCTCTGTTGGCAAGTCAGCAGACACTGCAGAGGTTTTATGTGGTCCAGTTCTTTAGATGAGAAGCTCAAGAGAGCGGTTATGTAGGTGTCCTGTGCCATCTGGAACTGGTTTGTAGCGTTCTCAGCGTTGCTTAGCAACTGAGCATCCCCCTCTGTGCCCTTGTGAGACTTGCGCTTTGCGAGCGTGTTATTTGCACTGTCCATGTCTAGACGAGCATTGGAGAGTTTCTTCTTTAAAATCTCAATCTCTTTTATCTCTGATAGGATAGTTTGCATGGGGGTGATTACTTGCTCGTGTAGATCGTATTCAAATCTTACTGATTGCTTCGCCATTAGCACCTGAAATATGATTATACTATTACGATTTCTATTATCGGTAGTCAGTATCAGTTATCTTATTATACTGGCAACTTGTTTTAAAGGTCCTGATTAGCTGTATATTATGTATTGGTATATTATCACTATTAGTACGGCTACTTACTAAGTCTATCAAGATTCATGTGTGATGCATAATCTGTGACCACTTAAATTTAATATATTTATAGGTATAAATGGCTGCTGTCACCCACATATCATCTATACTGATATTTAAGGGCCCTTACCAAAGTATCACCACAAGATTTGAGGATGTCGAAGAGGAAGTGTTCCTCCTCCACGACCTTGCTGCCCTCAACCAGGGTGTTTCCTAGAGCCCAGGTAGTTTGCTTCCTCATCCGCTTCTCAGCATCCACATTCCCCGCTCCTGCTACGTTCTTGAAGTGTTGGTAGGAGGGCTGGTGGGAAGTGGTGTCAGGTGGTGTCAGGCAACAAGATTTAATTAATATCCATGACAATATCAAAAACTGACGCAATAATTTTAAAATTAAAATTACACTACTATAATACCTTCGCTACCCGGAAGGTATTATAACACATAACAACAGCGTACAAACAAATTAAGAAGTTATATAATGTCTGATCTAAAGCACATAATACTGCAGTATCATTAACACTACAGTATCATTAACACTACAGTAACACTACAGTAACACTACAGTAACACTACAGTAACACTACAGTAACACTACAGTAACACTACAGTAACACTACAGTAACACTACAGTGATTGATTGATTGATTGATTGATTGATTGAGGAGCACTACCCGAAGGCATTACTCGGCACTAACGCCTTAAAATCTTTAATTACAATCAAATATAAATATATGCACACAATGTATAAAGTATTAATAATGTATAAAATATGATTATGCTATTAGCAAATTTAAATAGTACTATTAAGAATTTTAAATAACTCTTATCTCTTGACATAAATTTAGAACAGCGACACAGGGTCTGAAGAATGCGCGGTGATATTTTTATCTTTTAAAAGTTGTAAATGACAGTGAAATTGCGCGGTGTCGATAGCATTGTAAAAAATGCTCGAAGATAGTCATATTTTGTTATGAGGTTAAAGTTTTGTTGCTCGTTATTATGATCAACGTATGTTGTACCAAATTATTTAAATTTCTAAAAGTACGAAATTTGAGTTGTCCCAGTCCTTGTCATCCGGTTTATGTGCTTGTGCAGTAAGCACATGCTTGTTGACTGTAGACTTGAATGAATTTAGGAATTTGTCTTGTAGGCAAGTGGTGACATATTTTATGTCCTTGTTAATAATGTTGACTGTTTGGTTATATAACTTAGGCCCAATGTAAGAAATGCTCTTGTCTGAATTACATAAACGGTTAAATGGTACTGCAAAGAACTCAGGTTCTCTTCTAGGTGCGTTTAAGTTTGAAACAGTGAACATTCTTATAATATTTGGTGGTGCAGTGTTAGAATAAACTTTGTGCATTAAGCATAATATACATTTAGCTATCACGTTCGGTAAAGCTAATACTTCTAGTTTATTGAAAATTTCCTTTGTGTGTGAAGGTGTGCTATTCAGATCTTTGTCATAAAAATAGCGGTGGTATTGGTTATCTGCAGCGCGAATGCCCTTTTTCTGGGCCGAGAAGACTCTTTTAACGGAGTTTAGCGATCTTGTTCCCCAAACTGTGCAGCAGTAGTACAAGTGAGACTGAACAAAGCTGTTTTATATCAACTTGAGTGCTTTGTTAGGTACTGAGCCTTTGAGTTTGTAGAGAATACCCGCATTTCTAGATACTTTAGTGGCTAAATGTCTAATGTGGTGGGCCCAATTTAGCTTAGTATCAATGATCACGCCAAGAAACTTTTCGTGATAACTTTGCTTTAGTCGCTCACCTCCCATGTAGATTTCTATATCCTTAGTTTTTTTATTTGTAAAGATCATATATTTAGTTTTGCTAGCATATAATTTAAGCCAGTTATTAGTAGCCCAATCAATTATCAAAGTCAGAATCTCATTCACCAATGCATTAAGTTGTTCAAATGTATCTGTACTTATTATTAGGTTTGCGTCGTCAGCGAAATAAATATGTTTAGCTAAATTACTAATCTGAGGAAGGTCGTTGATGTAGATTATGAACAGAATTGGTCCGAGAATGGAGCACTGTGGTACTCCGTAGTTAAAGTTGAGGTGAGAGGACTTGCAGTTGTTGACGCTCACGTATTGCTCTCTATCGGTTAGATATGAGTGAAACCAAGATAAAGCCAACCCCCGAATTCCATAGTGCTCAAGTTTTCTCAGAAGAATACTGCTGTCAACCATGTCAAAGGCCTTGCTGTAGTCCAATAGAAGCAGTGCTGTGACCTGCTTTTTTTTCTAGTGCCCTGTGAATATGGTTTTGGGCTTCTAGTAAAGCATGTTCGCAGCTGTGCCCAGCCCGAAATCCGTATTGAGAGTCAAATAGGATTTTCTCTGTCTTTAAGTGATCTAATAGTCGCGCTTGCATAATTTTTTCAAAGATTTTTGAGAAACATGAGAGTAGTGAGATAGGTCGATAGTTTGAAACTTCAGCACGTGACCCACCTTTGTGAAGTGGAACTACTTTCGCGATTTTCAATTTATGCGGAAACTTCCCCTGATGTAGAGACGCAGAGACTAGGCAGCTAAGCACTGGTGCAAGTATATTGCTTACTTTTTTCAGGGGAAGTATACTCATATCAGAAGTCGACTTAATCTTCAAACCCTTAACTATTTCAATTATTTCTGATGCGGACGAATCTTCTAGATTCATGCTCCGCTGGCATTTGCTATCTTGAGTTTCTGTTACGATAGTCCTGCCCTCAGAGCATACGAGACCATTTTCTCTCTTAAGAGTCTCAGCTATATTGCAGAAATAGTCATTGAAGCTATTCGCAATTTGCTGAGAATCTGTTATCTCGCTCCCATTATAGTTAATTTTGTTTATCTTAATTTTGCCTTTTTTCTTTCTGTTTAACAAGTTATTAACCATTTGCCATTGTTTTCTGCTGTCGCTAGAATATTTTGTAAAGTACGCGTTGTAATATTTGTTTTTGGCCTTATCCACGTGTTTATTCACAAATTTCTTCATTTTCTTGTACCTAATATCATTTTCAGTGGTCGGGTTTGTGACAAAATCTTCATAAAATTTATTTTTGCGATCACATGCGCACCGTAACCATTCTTGGATCCACGGCTTTGTGTTTTTACGGCGGCCTGGTTTACTCTTTTTTGCCTTAATTGGGAAATTTCGGTCGTATAGTTCACTATATTTTTTATCGAAAGCCTCAAATTTTTCATCTACAGAATCATAGTTATTAACCAAGTTCCAGTCTACCGCAGAAATGTCGTTCTCGAACTTTTGGATACTGTCATCGTTTATTACTCGAGAAGACATTTCTGTTGTATCTTCTTGAAGTTTACAACTGAGCCTATTCTGATCAACCATGATTGTGACAAAAGTTGCCAAGTGGTCAGAGATTGACTCAGAAATTACTCCCGATTTTGTAACAGCGTGGCAATTATTGACGAAAATATGGTCAATGATTGTCGCACTGTGATCTGTGACTCTAGTTGGTCTAGATATCACAGGAGCGAACCCATGCTCTGCTAGAGTGTCCACATACTTAGTGACAGAGTCTATTCTCCCGTAATCTAGTAGGTCTATGTTAGTATCACCGGCCAGTATGATATTTTTGTTTCGATGTCTTGCTAAGTTACGGAGGAAAATTTTTAATTGTTCAAGGAAACCATTCAAATCCCCACTTGGAGAGCGATATATATTACAGATTAACGCGTTTTTGTGCCCTTTCAAGGTAAGTTCTGCAACCAAGAATTCTCCTATCTTAGGATTATCGTGGCAACATAGAGCGCTCTTAACGTTTATGTCAGATAATTCACATAGTTTTTTGTTAACATATATAACTAATCCTCCACCACGATTTGACGCTCTGGCGGGAGTCTGAACATACGGTGGATAGAAACCGTCTAGTTCGAGCTCCTCTCCCTGAAAAGGCAAACATTCCGTGTTACAATTTGTTTCATTGAAGCAGAGAACGTCGTATTTTGTGTATTGATCTATGTTCTCCCGAAATTCTTCAATGTTCCCATTAAGTGACCTAACGTTTAGCGAGAAAAGTTTTAATTCATACTCCTTCGTATTTTTTATTGCTTTCGCGGTATAGTATTTGCAGTTATTTAGAAGACTAGACGTTGTTTCCCATGGATTCAAATCAGCATCAGTATCATCACGATCACCTATTTAATTTGATAGGTGGTCGCGATTAAAGGGGTTAAACCTAATAGTGTTACTGAGATTTATCATGTGAAGCTGTCTAATGGAGACATCATATGCTGGGAAAATTTTTCTCAAGCATTCTTTGCAGCCTGTTGAGCCAGCAGAACATCTTGTGTGGGATAGGTTGTCACAGTAGCAACATTCGGTCATTTGTCTTACATTCCCAATTTTTGTGCAAGTGTGACATTTTTCTCGTTTATTGGAGACTGGGATTTGTATAGGCCGTGATGGTAATAGAGGCATGACGGCGCCCACTGGAAGAATTTCTGAAATGCAGCTGTAGCAAGACCATTCTCCAGTAAGTTCAGTTATGTCGCTAGGTGTTAGGTGAGCACATTTTGGGTGATATGTCATATAACAGATACTACAAGTGATACTTATCTTGTGTGAGACTAGGCGCTTTGTACAGGCCTTACAGCTATTTTTACTACTTCGGATAACTACCATTTTTTGGCTGTAACACTACAGTAACACTACAGTAACACTACAGTAACACTACAGTAACACTACAGTAACACTACAGTAACACTAGTACAGTAACACTACAGTAACACTACAGTAACACTACAGTAACACTACAGTAACACTACAGTAACACTACAGTAACACTACAGTAACACTACAGTAACACTACAGTAACACTACAGTAACACTACAGTAACACTGCAGTAACACTACAGTAACACTACAGTAACACTACAGTAACACTACAGTAACACTACAGTAACACTACAGTAACACTACAGTAACACTACAGTAACACTACAGTAACACTACAGTAACACTACAGTAACACTACAGTAACACTACAGTAACACTACACCCCACTATTTACCCCTCTCACCAGCGACTCCTGAGCTCGCTTCAGCGCATCAGTGTAAACTATTTTAATCTTGCGAACATTTTCCTCCACCTCCACAAGTTCCGAGGAGAGGGCGGCGGTTTTATTGGTGGTCTTGTCCACTGTCTCTGTTACTTGCTGCTTTAACCTGTAGAAACCCTTTTGTAGGGCACTCATAGTGGCGGCTGGTGCACCCTGGCCAGGTCACGTCACGTGTCAGTTATCTTGGCGTGTTATTACAGCTACAATTGGAGATATGGTCAGTTATCTTGTAAGTTAAGTGTAGCAGACCCCCCCTATATCACCTGCTAATGAAAGTGTAGCAGACCCGACCCCCCCCCCATATCACCTGCTAATGAAAGTGTAGCAGACCCCCCCCCCATATCACCTGCTAATGAAGTGTAGCAGACCCCCCCCAATGCCCCCATATCACCTGCTAATGAAGTGTAGCAGACCCCCCCCCATATCACCTGTTAATGAAAGTGTATCAGACCCCCCCCCCATATCACCTGCTAATGAAGTGTAGCAGACCCCCCCCCCCCAATGCCCCCATATCACCTGCTAATGAAGTGTAGCAGACCCCCCCCCCCATATCACCTGCTAATGAAGTGTAGCAGACCCCCCATATCACCTGCTAATGAAGTGTAGCAGACCTCCCGGCCCCCCCCATATCACCTGCTAATGAAGTGTAGCAGACCCCCCCATATCACCTGCTAATGAAGTGTAGCAGACCCCCCCCCCCATATCACCTGCTTATGAAAGTGTAGCAGACCCCCCCCCATATCACCTGCTAATGAAGTGTATCAGACCCCCCCATATCACCTGCTAATGAAGTGTAGCAGACCCCCCCCCATATCACCTGCTTATGAAAGTGTAGCAGACCCCCCCACCCCCCATATCACCTGTTAATGAAGTGTAGCAGACCCTCCCCCCCATATCACCTGCTAATGAAATGTAGCAGACCCCCCCCCATATCACCTGCTAATGAAGTGTAGCAGACCCTCCCCCCATATCACCTGCTAATGAAGTGTAGCAGACCCCCCCCCCATATCACCTGCTAATGAATTGTAGCAGACCCCCCCCCATATCACCTGCTAATGAAGTGTAGCAGACCCCCCCCCCCATATCACCTGCTAATGAAGTGTAGCAGACCCCCCCCCATATCACCTGCTAATGAAGTGTAGCAGACCCCCCCCCCATATCACCTGCTAATGAAGTGTAGCAGACCCCCCATATCACCTGCTAATGAAAGTGCTAATTAGCGATGCATGAAATGAACGGTAATCTGAATGCTAGTAAATCATTGAGAATAGTTCTAACTACATACATCACTATTACAGATTACTACAAAGTTGCAGCCTTTATAGATGCAATGGTTGCAAGTAACGAAAGATAGTTTAACAAGAATTGCGCCCGTTGTTTCGTTTTGGCGGACGCTAGATTTCCATTTCACATCTACTATAAATTTAAGTAAACTATAACATATAAGCTCCAATCAGCTCACTTCAATCTTCATGATAATAATATTGATCAATATTATGCATAAAATACGGGAAACACTTGAAATTCAGTTCAATTGCCGTAGAACTTAACTTGTATCTGTAATTCAAGAAATTATCAGCAAAGGTAAACTATACTCGTGTACACATCAATACACTACGCGTGCCACGTACAAATTGGGCGTATTACCTAATAGTAATATTATACATTACATGCATCATATTGATATACACAGTCCCGCCGCGCATTCATAGATCACAGGCTATCTATACATCACATCTCCGCAAGCAATCCTCGCGCGCGCCCAACTTTTTCGTTGCATGGTAACGAACGGAAGGACACGTGCGACATATTCAAACCCACCTATCTCGTTCTCCAAAATCCACGTTTTTCTGCATAAACCTCCATTCGTAACCTTCCACTATTGCCTTTTTTCAAAAGGGTGAAAAGGAAAAAATTAAGCAGCTACAAACACACAAGCAGGTTAAAAACAGCTCACAGCAGCTGCAGTACTAGTAGCCTGCTGAGTGCTGTTGCAACTAGTAGCCTGCTGAGTGCTGTTGCAACTAGTAGCCTGCTGAGTGCTGTTGCAACTAGTAGCCTGCTGAGTGCTGTTGCAACTAGTAGCCTGCTGAGTGCTGTTGCAACTAGTAGCCTGCTGAGTGCTGTTGCAACTAGTAGCCTGCTGAGTGCTGTTGCAACTAGTAGCCTGCTGAGTGCTGTTGCAACTAGTAGCCTGCTGAGTGCTGTTGCAACTAGTAGCCTGCTGAGTGCTGTTGCAACTAGTAGCCTGCTGAGTGCTGTTGCAACTAGTAGCCTGCTGAGTGCTGTTGCAACTAGTAGCCTGCTGAGTGCTGTTGCAACTAGTAGCCTGCTGAGTGCTGTTGCAACTAGTAGCCTGCTGAGTGCTGTTGCAACTAGTAGCCTGCTGAGTGCTGTTGCAACTAGTAGCCTGCTGAGTGCTGTTGCAACTAGTAGCCTGCTGAGTGCTGTTGCAACTAGTAGCCTGCTGAGTGCTGTTGCAACTAGTAGCCTGCTGAGTGCTGTTGCAACTAGTAGCCTGCTGAGTGCTGTTGCAACTAGTAGCCTGCTGAGTGCTGTTGCAACTAGTAGCCTGCTGAGTGCTGTTGCAACTAGTAGCCTGCTGAGTGCTGTTGCAACTAGTAGCCTGCTGAGTGCTGTTGCAACTAGTAGCCTGCTGAGTGCTGTTGCAACTAGTAGCCTGCTGAGTGCTGTTGCAACTAGTAGCCTGCTAAGTGCTGTTGCAACTAGTAGCCTGCTGAGTGCTGTTGCAACTAGTAGCCTGCTGAGTGCTGTTGCAACTAGTAGCCTGCTGAGTGCTGTTGCAACTAGTAGCCTGCTGAGTGCTGTTGCAACTAGTAGCCTGCTGAGTGCTGTTGCAACTAGTAGCCTGCTGAGTGCTGTTGCAACTAGTAGCCTGCTGAGTGCTGTTGCAACTAGTAGCCTGCTGAGTGCTGTTGCAACTAGTAGCCTGCTGAGTGCTGCTGCAACTGCCACTACGCAATAACACGTTACCTGTGCATGTGTACAAATGACACGTGTGTACAAATGACATAATCTAATACACGGTAAGAAGCCTGTGAGGATGTATAAAAGAAATACCAACACTACACTACACTACACTGACAATTATTGGAAGTATGAGAAATGGAACAAGTTAGCTACTACACACAGTACAAATTGTAATCCCTGCAACTACTACTGCTTACTAGTAGTTTCTGCAATTAAACAGTGCACTGTTACCTGTACATTACCTGTACATGTGCAGTGCACTAATGTTGTAATCTGGGATACTTGCAAGGATTCCCTGTCGTGCATCTGCAGAATACAATGTACAATGTACAATGTACAGGTAATGTACAGGTAATGAAGAGTGCATAACAAGTAATATAATGTACAATGAGAAGACCAATAGGAAGCAGGTAACACAGCGTCGTGAGGAGGAGTATATGTCAGGAAGGTGGACACTGTTACTGTTTGGGAAGCGTTGACAATCCGCACTTGGAATAAGGATTCATTAATGCTTGTCTCATTATATGAGATCAGTTATTTAGTGACTTCCTTATTTTGAAACTGCTTGTACGTGTGAAATTTCAACATTTAAACTTTTCTAAATTTCAAGAACTTACAATTATTTTAGACACGAATAATCTGGGTTTAGTTTTAATAAGAAGATAAATGTGTAAATTGTGTGTGCTTGTGAGGACGAGAGACTGAAAGTAACGAGAAACAGCAACAGTTAAGATGAGGTGTGATGAAAACTGAAGTTATGTCCTTAAAACTAAAGTTCTGAAAGGGGTGGAGCTCAGAACCATCATGGGGGCGGGGGGCCGGGGATGTGGGCGGGGGCAATCTTTTAGGAGGTTAAAGATTGTCCAGTATTTTAAGGAAATTAAAATATCATGTAAAATGATGGTTTGCAAGTATAGGTAGTACATACAGACAAATCGGGCTGAAAAATGGATTTACCGACACAAGATGCTTTCTTAGTCCCATTAGATGCCCTTTACGGCTGACCAACCTTTCCAAACTTTTCCACGTGTCTTAACGACACTTTTTTACCACTTTTCTTGTTTTCACGTAAGTTAACAGGATAATTACCCAAATAGCTAATTATCAAACATTTAAAAACATTTTACTGGCTCAAAATTGATTCTTTGATTCAACCACGGAGAAGAGTAGTTTTTAGAAAAACTTCGAAATTTTTTAATTTACAAGGAAAATATTGAGCATCAATAAAATATAAACGGAGTAAAGAAAAGCTCTGCAGTAGGGACACACTGCTACTAAAACAGCAGGATAATATGTACAACCTTTTACACCCGAATAAGGTATTAGTAATGAAGATTAAAGATGAGTAGTGAAAAGTGAAGGGATATCAACTATTTACACATCATGACACTGTGAAGTGTTCTACGTAACATTCCAGAGCATCTAGAAGAAATGAGCCTCAAGTCTAGTGATTATTGACCTACCTATGTGACCTATGTTGAGTTTCGTCAAGACTTGACGGGGCCATCACATCTTCTGACCACATTGCATTGTACAATATATATACGTATTATACAATATAAGGATTATTTTGGTTTTGAGTTAGGTAATTTTGGAAGGTAACATGCTAATGACAGTGAAAGTTGCAGAATAAATGTGATATGCCACTAGAAATATGATACTGTGATTTCGATGAGCTAACTTTAAATAGTAGTGAGTACTGTTACTAGTACAGGAGGGGGGCCGGGGGGGGGACTATTAATACTGGGCAGTGTAGTGAGTACTGTTACTAGTACAGGAGGGGGGCCGGGGGGGGACTATTAATACTGGGCAGTGTAGTGAGTACTGTTACTAGTACAGGATGGGGGGGGGGACTATTAATACTGGGCAGTGAACGCTTAATTGATAATGATTCCAATGCTACTACATATAATTAATAATACATTATAATAGTTTTCTGATTGTCTGCCAGAAAATTAATACGAAGAAAAAAAACCCACAAATGTGTGCATCACAATTATAGCTCATGATATCTTATAGCTTTGTTAATAGATTGTAATTTTGCAAAATTGCAATTTCCTTAAGTAACAGGTAACAGGTGAAATTGGTCACTGATGTTCTCTCATGTCTCCAGGCCGGCCACTGTTTAACGTGCTATATTATATAGATCACACAGGTCTTGATTGCGCGTGTATGGATGAGCTGTGAATTGAACATTCACTATATAAGTGGAACGTGCGCGCGTCCTCACTTGAAAACACAATCGCGGGACCTGACAGAGTAAGAAAATCAGCAGGAAGATATTACCGTATATACCGTCACCTCCTCACACGTTGTTTAAAATACACAGGGTTAAAGCCCTCGCGTGAATATTCAATATAGTATGCGCATGCGAGCGCTATTTTGAGAAAATGAAACTCCAGTTGAGGACCCTTCTAAATCAAAATTATACACGAGTGCTGCGTGGAGAAGTATGTAATATATACATGTATACATTACTTAAATGTATCATTAAAGTATCATTAAATGCTCATTAAATATTCATATTCACATTTTTTATCATACTACATCATATTTTTGTAGACAAAATATCTCGTCTTCTGATGGGAGCTAAGTGATAACTTAACATGACATTAAGTGGGTCATCATTTCAAATTCTTATTAAAATTAGAGAAGCAAAATTGTATATTTTACCAATCACCCAGGTCATAAGACATCGCTTCAAAAAATCGTCAAAAAACGAGGTCAAAGATTTTCAAAATCGAATAAAAACTTTTCTAAGGCCTAACTTAAAATTAAACAGAATCTCTTAAATGGTCCTTAGAACATATCCTGAAAGTTTCAGCGTGATTGCTCAAAAAATGTAGGAGAAGACAGATTTTTGGACTCGATTTTAAGGGTGCGCTCGCGCAACACAATTACACATAAGCGCTGACCTTTGACAGGCGATAATTTCCGCTAGGAACAATATTTTTCCATGGGATCAAAAGCAGCTGATAGATATCACTCCCGATCCCCTCTATCAGAAACAACTGTAAAGTCAATTTCGAGGAATTTTGATGAAGACCCCTTAATGTTCATTCTTGTTTTGTATTCGACGGCATTATTTAACACATCAATAGCATAATGTAATGTCTGTGTAAGCATATATTATTCTAATGTAATGGAAAATGTACATATTATGGTAAATTAAAACAGAGATCTCGAGATTTAGATAATTTAAGTGGTTGAGATCTCATTGAGATGAAGTGAGACATGCCTGCTGTGGGTACCAAGAGTGACTGCTAATATTGATCTAGTAAGGTTCCCAAAAGCTGGATGTAACCAGATAATAAAGAAGGAGAAACTCTCTCTATTTAAAAATGCAAAGTGACATGCACAGGGCACTAGGACGAGAAGACACTGTTTATGCTGCGGAGGATTACCGGGTTAGCTGAAAAGTTTAACCAATAAAGTGTTTCCCAGACTGCGCAGTGTCTACCTGCGGAAACAATAAAGTGTTTCCCAGACTGCGCAGTGTCTACCTGCGGAAACAATAAAGTGTTTCCCAGACTGCGCAGTGTCTACCTGCGGAAACAATAAAGTGTTTCCCAGACTGCGCAGTGTCTACCTACTGAAACACAACTCTCTACACAACATGTTATCATAAGGCAAAAAAGAAATCAGCAAAATATGTAAAATATATAAAACAGTATAAAAATATGATGTATATTGTATAAGATTATACTTTTCTACATTATACAATGCGTTGTTTACAAGCTTTCTACATACGTTATCAAGGCGTTAAGGAATTCTTCATCGCGTACATTTTGACATTTCCTAGAGAAAAATTAGGTGTTAAAACCAAAATATCGAATATCTCCCAGTTCGAAGTTTCGAGGTGTCCGGTTTCATATTTTATACCCTGTGATACCCTATGGGTACCCTATCTAGTGCACATATCCTTCGTACGATGCAGGGTACACTGTACAGGGGGGGGGGCTCCCCGTACACTGTACAGGGGGGGGGGGGGGCTCCCCGTACACTGTACAGGGGGGGGGCTCCCCGTACACTGTACAGGGGGGGGGGGGGCTCCCCGTACACTGTACATGGGGGCTCCCCGTACACTGTACATGGGGGGCTCCCCGTACACTGTACAGGGTGGCTCCCCGTACACTGTACAGGGGGGGCTCCCGTACACTGTAAATGGGGGGCTCCCCGTACACTGTACAGGGGGGCTCCCCGTACACTGTACATGGGGGGCTCCCCGTACACTGTAAATGGGGGGCTCCCCGTACACTGTACAGGGGGGCTCCCCGTACACTGTACATGGGGCTCCCCGTACACTGTACATGGGGCTCCCCGTACACTGTACAGGGGGGGCTCCGCGTACACTGTACAGGGGGGCTCCCCGTACACTGTACAGGGGGGCTCCCCGTACACTGTACAGGGGGGGCTCCCCGTACACTGTACAGGGGGGCTCCCCGTACATTGTACAGGGGGGCTCCGCGTACTCTGTACAGGGGGGCTCCCCGTACACTGTACAGGGGGGCTTCCCGTACACTGTACATGGGGCTTCCCGTACACTGTACATGGGGCTTCCCGTACACTGTACATGGGGCTCCCCGTACACTGTACATGGGGCTCCCCGTACACTGTACAGGGGGGGCTCCGCGTACACTGTACAGGGGGGCTCCCCGTACACTGTACAGGGGGGGCTCCCCGTACACTGTACAGGGGGGCTCCCCGTACATTGTACAGGGGGGCTCCGCGTACTCTGTACAGGGGGGCTCCCCGTACACTGTACATGGGGGGCTCCCCGTACACTGTACAGGGGGGCTTCCCGTACACTGTACATGGGGCTTCCCGTACACTGTACATGGGGCTTCCCGTACACTGTACAGGGGGGCTCCCCGTACACTGTACATGGGGCTTCCCGTACACTGTACAGGGGGGCTCCCCGTACACTGTACATGGGGCTTCCCGTACACTGTACAGGGGGGCTCCCCGTACACTGTACATGGGGCTTCCCGTACACTGTACAGGGGGCTCCCCGTACACTGTACAGGGGGGCTCCCCGTACACTGTACAGGGGGGCTCCCCGTACACTGTACATGGGGGGCTCCCCGTACACTGTACAGGGGGGGCTCCCCGTACACTGTACAGGGGGCTCACCGTACACTGTACAGGGGGGCTCCCCGTACACTGTACATGGCATGGGGGGCTCCCCTTACACTGTACATGGGGGGCTCCCCGTACACTGTACAGGGGGCTCACCGTACACTGTAAAGGGGGGGCTCCCCGTACACTGTACAGGGGGCTCACCGTACACTGTACAGGGGGGGCTCCCCGTACACTGTACATGGCATGGGGGGCTCCCCGTACACAGTACATGGGGGGCTCCCCGTACACTGTACAGGGGGCTCACCGTACACTGTACAGGGGGGGGCTCCCGTACACTGTACATGGCATGGGGGGCTCCCCTTACACTGTACATGGGGGGCTCCCCGTACACTGTACATGGGGGGCTCACCGTACACTGTACATGGCATGGGGGGCTCCCCGTACACTGTACATGGGGGGCTCCCCGTACACTGTACATGGGGCTCCCCGTACACTGTACAGGGCCAGGGGGGCTCACCGTACACTGTACAGGGGGCTCACCGTACACTGTACAGGGGGGGGGGCCGGGGCTCCCCGTACACTGTACAGGGGGGGGGGGCTCCCCGTACACTGTACAGGGGGAAGTCCCTACCTAATTATTTGAGCTTATACCAGTCACTTAGTGCCAGGTTTAGATAATATTCTCTAGGAATCCACCAAATCAAGTAAGAACAGTTCTCATTTTTTTAATGAACATTCGTTTTGAATCGGTTGAATGTTTGGCTATTTAAAGGTCTTGAATTAAAGGTGTAACTACTCAGTTGGTAGAGATATCCAGCATGATGTTTTTCTTCATCATATCATGAGTATTTATATTGTGCAATGTGACTGCCTTTGCTAGTCATTTCAACATGCCACAAGAACCATTACACTATAATACAAGAAAATGGGGTGTGTGGCATTTTGGTAAAGAAGAGCAATTTGAGTATTTGATGTAGAATGTGCGTGGCTGCGGAGTGTTTAGTTTAGTATAGCCTCTAAAACAACCACATTAGATTATGTATCCTTAAAAGTAGGTATCTGCAAAGTCTCAAACACGCAAATGTTATAAGCGCACATGTTTGGGTAGTGACTTTTTAACCCGGCCGCGGTCCCCTCTATTTAATAACTACGAAATTTGGTATAGGGTAATTTAATGACATACGATAGATTTCGTAATGTATCATATTAATCATTAATTCACCCTGATACCTATTTTACTTGATTCAATGATTATTCAAGTGGTTAAACATTGTTGACTTAGTGTATATTGTACTATTAGTATTAGTATTGTATTTTAAATAATAATTAACATACTGCCGCGAAATTCGAAATAAATGATCATGATATGTATTGAAATAATGCAGTTCAATGTTGTAATATATTGCAATATATAGCAATTTAAAATATGTGCGGAATTTTGTTCATATCCAGACAGTTCAAGAGATAGATACTTTAAAGAATATTTTATGGTAAGCTCTGAAATCAAAACACATGAAAACCATGGCCTAAATTGTACGGTGGAGCTGGAGGGGGTTGGAAACAAATAAATTATACGATAGTTTGTAACTTAACAAACAACAATCTAATCTTAGGTTTGTGAACTTACTACTATACCAACTATAAATATATTAGATCTACTTACTTTAAGAAAGTTATAATTCTAATTCTGGCTACTCGTTCATATATTTGATTAAATAAAACACAATTATAATCTCGAAAAGAAGATCAAATTGGTTCTTGACCGGTCAAACAGTTATTACGGTAGGTAAAGTAAAAATTGTTTAAAAATGATTTCCAGGTGTTTCCCCATAAGTCCAGCTCAACAAGTTCAACAGCTCGCTCAATAATACGTCATCTTGTTAACAAATATATTATAAAATATACAATTAATAATAAAGTCAGTTTGCAGTGGAAGTGCTAGTGCCGAGTTGGCGCACACCCAGGTCCCGCTCCAGCTCTGCGCGGCGCTGCTGTACTTTAGTGTAGAAGTAGCGACACACTCCCTCTTTTAACCAGTCCTTCTGATAGAACCCTGCTTTCCTTTCCTCCTCCGGGTCTCCATCTATATTCAGCATCACCTGATACACATTTAGTTATTATTAAACTACATAGTACGTACTGAGTAGTAGTAAGTTATTATTAAACTACATAGTACGTACTGAGTAGTAGTAAGTTATTATTAAACTACATAGTACGTACTGAGTAGTAGTAAGTTATTATTAAACTACATAGTACGTACTGAGTAGTAGTAAGTTATTATTAAACTACATAGTACGTACTGAGTAGTAGTAAGTTATTATTAAACTACATAGTACGTACTGAGTAGTAGTAAGTTATTATTAAACTACATAGTACGTACTGAGTAGTAGTAAGTTATTATTAAACTACATAGTACGTACTGAGTAGTAGTAAGTTATTATTAAACTACATAGTACGTACTGAGTAGTAGTAAGTTATTATTAAACTACATAGTACGTACTGAGTAGTAGTAAGTTATTATTAAACTACATAGTACGTACTGAGTAGTAGTAAGTTATTATTAAACTACATAGTACGTACGTTACTGAGTAGTAGTAAGTTATTATTAAACTACATAGTACGTACTGAGTAGTAGTAAGGAACAATCCGGTTATTATGGGCTCTTCCCCAGGTACTTTACTTATGAATAACTTAAATCTTGACGAACACATGGTTTCCGTCTAAATAATTAATTACTTATTCAATTGTAAATATAACTCTGTAACTATACCTATAACTCTGTAACTATGTTATATTATATAACTATAACTCTGTAACTTACCTTTAGGTCCCTACTCTGAGATATCAGCCACTTGTTGATAAAGCCATAAGGATCAGAAGCGAAGGACAGCATGAACTCTCGTTTAGTTTTGAGCGCCTTTATACTGTCCACTGTCTCGTATATCTTCTGATCTAAACTCATAATCTCTTGTTGAGCTACTGTGGACACTAAGAAGTTGTTCATCTGCTGTTTGAGAGTGTCATCTACCTCCACACTGCGGAGTGTTTAGGTTAGTACAGCCTCTAAAACACTACCTCCACACTGCGGAGTGTTCAGGTTAGTACAGCCTCTAAAACACTACCTCCACACTGCGGAGTGTTTAGGTTAGTACAGCCTCTAAAACACTACCTCCACACTGCGGAGTGTTCAGGTTAGTACAGCCTCTAAAACACTACCTCCACACTGCGGAGTGTTCAGGTTAGTACAGCCTCTAAAACACTACCTCCACACTGCGGAGTGTTTAGGTTAGTACAGCCTCTAAAACACTACCTCCACACTGCGGAGTGTTCAGGTTAGTACAGCCTCTAAAACACTACCTCCACACTGCGGAGTGTTTAGGTTAGTACAGCCTCTAAAACACTACCTCCACACTGCGGAGTGTTCAGGTTAGTACAGCCTCTAAAACACTACCTCCACACTGCGGAGTGTTCAGGTTAGTACAGCCTCTAAAACACTACCTCCACACTGCGGAGTGTTTAGGTTAGTACAGCCTCTAAAACACTACCTCCACACTGCGGAGTGTTCAAGTTAGTACAGCCTCTAAAACACTACCTCCACACTGCGGAGTGTTCAGGTTAGTACAGCCTCTAAAACACTACCTCCACACTGCGGAGTGTTCAGGTTAGTACAGCCTCTAAAACACTACCTCCACACTGCGGAGTGTTCAGGTTAGTACAGCCTCTAAAACACTACCTCCACACTGCGGAGTGTTTAGGTTAGTACAGCCTCTAAAACACTACCTCCACACTGCGGAGTGTTTAGGTTAGTACAGCCTCTAAAACACTACCTCCACACTGCGGAGTGTTTAGGTTAGTACAGCCTCTAAAACACTACCTCCACACTGCGGAGTGTTTAGGTTAGTACAGCCTCTAAAACACTACCTCCACACTGCGGAGTGTTTAGGTTAGTACAGCCTCTAAAACACTACCTCCACACTGCGGAGTGTTTAGGTTAGTACAGCCTCTAAAACACTACCTCCACACTGCGGAGTGTTCAGGTTAGTACAGCCTCTAAAACACTACCTCCACACTGCGGAGTGTTCAGGTTAGTACAGCCTCTAAAACACTACCTCCACACTGCGGAGTGTTCAGGTTAGTACAGCCTCTAAAACACTACCTCCACACTGCGGAGTGTTTAGGTTAGTACAGCCTCTAAAACACTACCTCCACACTGCGGAGTGTTTAGGTTAGTACAGCCTCTAAAACACTACCTCCACACTGCGGAGTGTTTAGGTTAGTGCAGCCTCTAAAACACTACCTCCACACTGCGGAGTGTTCAGGTTAGTACAGCCTCTAAAACACTACCTCCACACTGCGGAGTGTTTAGGTTAGTGCAGCCTCTAAAACACTACCTCCACACTGCGGAGTGTTCAGGTTAGTACAGCCTCTAAAACACTACCTCCACACTGCGGAGTGTTTAGGTTAGTACAGCCTCTAAAACACTACCTCCACACTGCGGAGTGTTTAGGTTAGTACAGCCTCTAAAACACTACCTCCACACTGCGGAGTGTTCAGGTTAGTACAGCCTCTAAAACACTACCTCCACACTGCGGAGTGTTCAGGTTAGTACAGCCTCTAAAACACTACCTCCACACTGCGGAGTGTTCAGGTTAGTACAGCCTCTAAAACACTACCTCCACACTGCGGAGTGTTCAGGTTAGTACAGCCTCTAAAACACTACCTCCACACTGCGGAGTGTTCAGGTTAGTACAGCCTCTAAAACACTACCTCCACACTGCGGAGTGTTCAAGTTAGTACAGCCTCTAAAACACTACCTCCACACTGCGGAGTGTTCAGGTTAGTACAGCCTCTAAAACACTACCTCCACACTGCGGAGTGTTTAGGTTAGTACAGCCTCTAAAACACTACCTCCACACTGCGGAGTGTTCAGGTTAGTACAGCCTCTAAAACACTACCTCCACACTGCGGAGTGTTCAGGTTAGTACAGCCTCTAAAACACTACCTCCACACTGCGGAGTGTTCAGGTTAGTACAGCCTCTAAAACACTACCTCCACACTGCGGAGTGTTCAGGTTAGTACAGCCTCTAAAACACTACCTCCACACTGCGGAGTGTTCAGGTTAGTACAGCCTCTAAAACACTACCTCCACACTGCGGAGTGTTCAGGTTAGTACAGCCTCTAAAACACTACCTCCACACTGCGGAGTGTTCAGGTTAGTACAGCCTCTAAAACACTACCTCCACACTGCGGAGTGTTCAGGTTAGTACAGCCTCTAAAACACTACCTCCACACTGCGGAGTGTTCAGGTTAGTACAGCCTCTAAAACACTACCTCCACACTGCGGAGTGTTCAGGTTAGTACAGCCTCTAAAACACTACCTCCACACTGCGGAGTGTTCAGGTTAGTACAGCCTCTAAAACACTACCTCCACACTGCGGAGTGTTCAGGTTAGTACAGCCTCTAAAACACTACCTCCACACTGCGGAGTGTTAGGTTAGTACAGCCTCTAAAACACTACCTCCACACTGCGGAGTGTTCAGGTTAGTACAGCCTCTAAAACACTACCTCCACACTGCGGAGTGTTCAGGTTAGTACAGCCTCTAAAACACTACCTCCACACTGCGGAGTGTTCAGGTTAGTACAGCCTCTAAAACACTACCTCCACACTGCGGAGTGTTCAGGTTAGTACAGCCTCTAAAACACTACCTCCACACTGCGGAGTGTTCAGGTTAGTACAGCCTCTAAAACACTACCTCCACACTGCGGAGTGTTCAGGTTAGTACAGCCTCTAAAACACTACCTCCACACTGCGGAGTGTTCAGGTTAGTACAGCCTCTAAAACACTACCTCCACACTGCGGAGTGTTCAGGTTAGTACAGCCTCTAAAACACTACCTCCACACTGCGGAGTGTTCAGGTTAGTACAGCCTCTAAAACACTACCTCCACACTGCGGAGTGTTCAGGTTAGTACAGCCTCTAAAACACTACCTCCACACTGCGGAGTGTTCAGGTTAGTACAGCCTCTAAAACACTACCTCCACACTGCGGAGTGTTCAGGTTAGTACAGCCTCTAAAACACTACCTCCACACTGCGGAGTGTTCAGGTTAGTACAGCCTCTAAAACACTACCTCCACACTGCGGAGTGTTTAGGTTAGTACAGCCTCTAAAACACTACCTCCACACTGCGGAGTGTTCAGGTTAGTACAGCCTCTAAAACACTACCTCCACACTGCGGAGTGTTTCAGGTTAGTACAGCCTCTAAAACACTACCTCCACACTGCGGAGTGTTCAGGTTAGTACAGCCTCTAAAACACTACCTCCACACTGCGGAGTGTTTAGGTTAGTACAGCCTCTAAAACACTACCTCCACACTGCGGAGTGTTTCAGGTTAGTACAGCCTCTAAAACACTACCTCCACACTGCGGAGTGTTCAGGTTAGTACAGCCTCTAAAACACTACCTCCACACTGCGGAGTGTTTCAGGTTAGTACAGCCTCTAAAACACTACCTCCACACTGCGGAGTGTTTAGGTTAGTACAGCCTCTAAAACACTACCTCCACACTGCGGAGTGTTCAGGTTAGTACAGCCTCTAAAACACTACCTCCACACTGCGGAGTGTTCAGGTTAGTACAGCCTCTAAAACACTACCTCCACACTGCGGAGTGTTCAGGTTAGTACAGCCTCTAAAACACTACCTCCACACTGCGGAGTGTTTCAGGTTAGTACAGCCTCTAAAACACTACCTCCACACTGCGGAGTGTTCAGGTTAGTACAGCCTCTAAAACACTACCTCCACACTGCGGAGTGTTTCAGGTTAGTACAGCCTCTAAAACACTACCTCCACACTGCGGAGTGTTTCAGGTTAGTACAGCCTCTAAAACACTACCTCCACACTGCGGAGTGTTCAGGTTAGTACAGCCTCTAAAACACTACCTCCACACTGCGGAGTGTTCAGGTTAGTACAGCCTCTAAAACACTACCTCCACACTGCGGAGTGTTCAGGTTAGTACAGCCTCTAAAACACTACCTCCACACTGCGGAGTGTTCAGGTTAGTACAGCCTCTAAAACACTACCTCCACACTGCGGAGTGTTCAGGTTAGTACAGCCTCTAAAACACTACCTCCACACTGCGGAGTGTTCAGGTTAGTACAGCCTCTAAAACACTACCTCCACACTGCGGAGTGTTCAGGTTAGTACAGCCTCTAAAACACTACCTCCACACTGCGGAGTGTTTAGGTTAGTACAGCCTCTAAAACACTACCTCCACACTGCGGAGTGTTCAGGTTAGTACAGCCTCTAAAACACTACCTCCACACTGCGGAGTGTTCAGGTTAGTACAGCCTCTAAAACACTACCTCCACACTGCGGAGTGTTCAGGTTAGTACAGCCTCTAAAACACTACCTCCACACTGCGGAGTGTTCAGGTTAGTACAGCCTCTAAAACACTACCTCCACACTGCGGAGTGTTCAGGTTAGTACAGCCTCTAAAACACTACCTCCACACTGCGGAGTGTTTAGGTTAGTACAGCCTCTAAAACACTACCTCCACACTGCGGAGTGTTTAGGTTAGTACAGCCTCTAAAACACTACCTCCACACTGCGGAGTGTTCAGGTTAGTACAGCCTCTAAAACACTACCTCCACACTGCGGAGTGTTCAGGTTAGTACAGCCTCTAAAACACTACCTCCACACTGCGGAGTGTTCAGGTTAGTACAGCCTCTAAAACACTACCTCCACACTGCGGAGTGTTCAGGTTAGTACAGCCTCTAAAACACTACCTCCACACTGCGGAGTGTTCAGGTTAGTACAGCCTCTAAAACACTACCTCCACACTGCGGAGTGTTCAGGTTAGTACAGCCTCTAAAACACTACCTCCACACTGCGGAGTGTTCAGGTTAGTACAGCCTCTAAAACACTACCTCCACACTGCGGAGTGTTCAGGTTAGTACAGCCTCTAAAACACTACCTCCACACTGCGGAGTGTTCAGGTTAGTACAGCCTCTAAAACACTACCTCCACACTGCGGAGTGTTT